ATTGATAAGGTAGAAAAGCAAAATAATTTAGCTATAAATGTTTTCGGACATTCTAAAGGAATTGTTGTACACAGGATAAGCTCCGCTCCGGAACATATTCCCAGAATCAATTCATTTCTGATCGAAAAAGATGGAAAATATCATTATACATGGATAAAGAGTTTAAACAGGCTGCTATACGATCAAACTAAATATAAGGGAAAGAAATATTTCTGCGAAAGATGCCTACATGGGTACAGCAGACAAGATCTATTAGAAGCGCATAAAGAAGACTGTAGAGGTGTTGGACAGAATGCTATCAGGATCGATATGCCTAAAGAGGGAAAAAATATATTAAAATTTGAACATTATTGTAATCAAATGCCAGTACCGTACGTAATTTACGCCGACTTCGAAGCGCTTATCAAACCCATAGAAAATACCAACCATAATAATCAAGATAGTAGTTTTACCTACAAAACTCAAGAACATATTCCTTGTGGGTTTGGATATATAGTTGTAAGGTATGATGGGAAAACAAACCCGCCCGTGATTTACAGAGGACCCGATGCAGCGGGAAAGTTCCTAGAATATCTACAAAACGAAGAGAGAATAATCAGAGAAAAATTATCGTGTAAGATACCCATGCGTATGACGAGGGATGATTGGAGGGTCCATAAGAAGTCAACGAGTTGTCACGTTTGTAATAAACCCCTGGATGGGGATTCCGTAAGAGATCATTGTCACGTCACGGGTAATTATCGGGGAGCCGCCCATAACGAGTGTAACTTGAGACTAAAAATGAATTCTCAAACAATACCCATCCCCGTTGTGTTTCACAACCTTAGGGGATACGATTCACATCTCATTATGCAAGCTATCTCGAAGACCGACGGCGGTTTAACGTGCATTCCTAATAATATGGAAAAATACATATCGTTCTCGTTGACTAAACCTATACATTATAGGGACAAGGATGGGAAATCTAGAATAAAGCAAAGTAATGGGCTTAGATTCATAGACTCTGTACAGTTTCTGTTATCTTCCCTGGACAATTTAGCTAATGCGAACAATCCCGATGACTTCGCGATAACAAATCAATATACCGATAAGATAACTCGTCATTTGTTGCTGAGAAAAGGTGTATATCCTTACGAATATATGGATGATTGGTCTAGATTCGAAGAAACTGAATTACCACCCCTCGAATCATTCTATAGTAACTTAACAGAACTAGAATAACAGATGCCGATTATGAACACGCTCTGACGGTCTGGGATAAATTAGGATGTAAGAATTTAGGCGATTATCACGATCTGTACTTAAAAACGGATGTACTGTTACTCGCCGATATATTCAAGATATTTAGAAAGACATGTTTAAAACAATACGGCTTGGACCCGGCATGGTACTATTCCAGTCCCGGACTATCGTGGGATGCATTGTTGAAGAAGACCGGCGTAGAACTAAAACTACTCACAGATTACGATATGCACTTGTTTATTGAGAAAGGATTAAGAGGTGGTATATCGATGGCAGCTAAAAGGTATTCTAAGGCTGATAATAAATTAGTGGAAGGATACGATCCGAGTAAACCCGACACGCATATATTATATCTCGACGCTAACAATTTGTACGGATGGGCTATGAGTCAACCTTTACCCACGGGTGGTTTTGAATGGGTCAATGATATCGATAATATCAATGTTATTAATATCCATAATAATGATGCGAATAAAGGGTACATACTAGAAGTTGACTTGGAATATCCAAGTTCGTTACATAAAGATCATAACAGTTATCCGCTAGCTCCCGAAAGATTAATGGTTAGTAAAGATTGGATGTCGGAATATCAACACTCCTTGATGGGTAATAGTAGGTTAGCTAACGTAGAAAAACTCGTACCAAATTTGATGGATAAGACAAAATATATAGTTCACTACAGAAATCTCCAGTTGTATCTATCGTTAGGTATGAAACTAAAGAAAATACACAGAGTTCTAAAGTTTGATCAAAGCCCTTGGATGGAGCCCTATATAAGGTTGAACACAGATTTAAGAAAGATAGCTACCAGCGATTTCGAAAAGAATCTATATAAGCTCATGAATAACTCGGTATTTGGTAAAACTATGGAGAATTTAAGGAAGCGTGTTGATGTTAAATTAGTCAGATCTAATGAGGAAGAAAGACTCAGGAAACTTATAGCCAGTCCGGCTTTTAACAGAAGCAAGATATTCGATAACGACTTAGCCGCGTTGCATATGCAGAAGAGTAATATAAAATTCAACAGACCGGTGTACATCGGTATGAGTATTCTCGACTTGTCAAAACACTTAATGTATGACTTTTATTACAACGAACTTAAGAAGCAATACGGCGATAGATGCGAGGTGTTATATACCGACACAGATTCTTTGTTGATGGAAATACAAACCGAGGATGTACGACACGAGTGATTATCCTAAAGATAATCCACTGCACAGCGTAGTAAATAAAAAGGTGTTAGGTAAGATGAAGGATGAATGTGCTGGGACCCCTATAGCGGAGTATGTAGGATTAAGACCTAAGATGTATTCTATAAAGAAGTCCGATAATGGGGAGATAAGAAAAGCTAAGGGTGTTAAGAAGTATGTTGTAAAAAAGCATATCAAACACGAACAGTATAAAGAATCATTATTTAACGGTAGAATGTTCAAACACGAGATGAACTCTTTAAGAAGTTACAATCATAGGATATATGGATTAAGAATGAACAAGACATCATTATCCCCCTTAGATACAAAGAGATGGATTGATAATGATGGTGTAACTACCTATGCTTATGGTTATGGTGGTAATACCGTACCGTCGGGAACTATGAACAACTCTTCTCGTACAAATGCCCTACCAGGTCCATCTTGAAGATAATAAAGAATAGACTCTCCTTCTTTCGTAACCAATCGACTAATGTTATACGTCTTAAGGGACCATATGGGATCGGTTGCGAGGCGTAGGCCTCCTTCGAGTTCACCTGCCTGGTATAAATATCTTACCCTTACTCTATCCGGAAGTTTTCGTTCTTTGCCTCTCCTCGGTGCTGAAGATTCGGAAGTCACGGATTTCATTTTAATAGCATCGGATGGTTTCTTCCCTATTAATCTCGTTACTTCATTATTCAGCGCTGATACAACGGGTGATAATCGTGTCACCCATTCGGTTGATCTCAATCTCTCGGATTTCATTTCGATCCCATACTGATAGCCAAACAAATGTTCCGCTAATGTCCGGTTAAATCTTTCGACGATAGCTTGACTGCGGTGGGCCTCTCTTTCACCACGGACGATTTCGACATCGTTCTTTGTTAACAGTTTAGTTACCGATCCCATAAACTCGCGACCGGGATCTACTTGAAATAGCTTAGGCCATTTCAGAAGTCCGCGTTTATATACGCGACTCAGTGCATTAGCTACTTCTGTTGATTCTTTCGAGGTTAATGGCTCAGCCTCTTTGTATTGACTAGCCACATCCACTATGGTTAAAGCGTATTTATACGTTTTGCGTTTTACCTTATCGTGGGGAAGAAACAAGAGGTCAGCCTGATGAACTTCATTCGTCGTAAAAATATCAAACTTCTTCCTCGGTATATAACGCGGTGCCGGTAAGTATATTTGCCACATCGCTTGTTTCTTTAACCAATCCTTGGCCACATCTTTAGAAACCTTAGCCGCGGTGGCTAATTTTTTTATTGCTCCTACACCTTTCCAATATCCTCGTGGGCTATAGTAAATTTTATTCATTATTAATTAATATTGATATTTCGTTTAATACAACTCATGACTATCGTTAAATCGCATAATCATTTTGACATAAAAAATGCCATCTGTAGTAGCAGTATAGGTAATAAATCTGGCTCCAGTGGAAGTGGTCCAGAACCCCTATTAACTATAAAAATTTGTATCATTGGCTCCAGGTGGTGGTGAGCTGGAGCCAATTTAGCTGAATCTCATGACTATCGTTAAATCGCATGATCATTTACGCATAAAACATTCCATCTGTAGTAGCAGTATAGGTATATAAATCTGGCTCCAGTGGAAGTGGTCCAGAACCCCTATTACCTATACTACTAATTGAAATGAATTAGACGCCCTAATTTAATCTCATCATTTTAATTTGGATCTATTTTGATCTTACGATGATTTGCCATGGATAGATACATATATAGTTTGCCGATGTATACGTGCATATACATGTCACTTGTAACAGAATGACATGACATATATCAGCTTTACTCATCTTTCTGGGGCAGGGAGTTAACTGACTATAAAAGTATAAAAGGACTAACAAGTCTATGCATAGTCCAATCAAAGTTGCATAAAGAAATCGACATCCAGTTCATAAACTGCTGTGCAGATTTTGGTCGATTACAGAATTTGCAAAGCATGTGTACCGTCAATTGGCATCAACAGATATTTTGCAAATCTTTTCATCATGTGAAGGTGCTCACATGGTTTGATGCACTTTGCAAAGTAAGAACTGTTTTATCACAATATAGATTTTAATTATCGATCAGATTGTCTTGACTGGGCACCACCATTTGAGTTGATGCAAATGCAAGCGATATGAGAGGATGAATCTGATTGGTCAATAGGAGGGACATAGAAGGGACATAACTGGCAATAGGCACTGGTGGCGCTACAATTGAGTCCAGACATTCCAGTATAGTTCAGCAAGGATGGTAACTGGACTTTTAGTCAGCTTACTCCCTTGCCTCAGGAAGATGGCTCTGCTGGGATTGTGGGCAAACTGTGGGCAAACTACTTCAAAACAATTTCCAAATCCTCATAATCTTAATAAGAATGGAGATTGCAAACACACAAGTCTATATCACTAATTAATACATATTGGCGCAGGGGAGGGGGGTAGACTGCTGGATAAAGCATTCGTTTGTCACGCCAAAGACCCGGGTTTGATTCCGTAAAACTATACTCATTCACTCACATATTGGCTCAGAGTAGGTTGTGATGGACCTCTTGTTTTTCAAGGTCACACAACTAACCAACATGGCAGAAAAAGAAATTCTGGACATCTTCAAACTAGATACAGTTCAGGATGATGGTAAGTGTAACAGTATGTGTGTTGGGGGTATTATTGTAGTGGACTGCCAGTACAAATGTATGAAGGAAATTCAGATATTTTTCAGACTGAACGACAACTGAACTGTCAGTATTTTCCTCTGTGCTGACAGGTCTCACCTTTTGTGTTGAACATCACATTTAATCTAGTGTCAGGTCTGTATATAGTGTTAGGATGATTCAGTGGGATGACTTCAGTTGTTGTCATTCATAATTGAGAATGCTTTAACAGTGGTATCATTGAGTGAGTGAGTTGAGTTTAACGCTGCTTTTAACAGTATTCCAGTTATATGACAGCATGTTAGCTTGTTGTTGGAGGAAAGCCGGAGGTGAAGCAGGTATCAGACATTTACCCCTTTGGTGAAACTCATGAGCACAAGCATGGCAAAGTAACCAGTCCCAGTCTTGCTTCTTCAATCATCTCATGTAATGGTTGATAGAAGTGTTGTTTGATATCCTGAGACAAGGGTGTGATTCTGTATGTCTGTGTCATGATAGAAGTGTTGATTGATATCCTGAGACAAGGGTGAGATTCTGTATGTCTGTGCCATGATGGAAGTGTTGTTTGATATCCTGAGACACAGGTGAGATTCTGTATGTCTGTGCTATGATGGAAGTGTTGTTTGATATCCTGAGACAAGGGTGAGATTCTGTATGTCTGTGCCATGATAGAAGTGTTGTTTGATATCCTGAGAAAAGGGTGAGATTCTGTATGTCTGTGCCATGATCAAAGTGTTGTTTGATATCCGAAAAAACACAGGTGAGATTCTGTATGTCTGTGCCATGATGGAAGTGTTGTTTGACATCCTGAGACACAGGTGAGATTCTGTATGTCTGTGCCATGATGGACGTGTTGTTTGATATCCTGAGACCCAGGTGAGATTCTGTATGTCTGTGCCATGATGGAAGTGTTGTTTGATATCCTGAGACACAGGTGAGATTCTGTATGTCTGTGTCATGATGGACGTGTTGTTTGATATCCTGAGACACAGGTGAGATTCTGTATGTCTGTGTCATGAGCAGAGTCATCTGGTAAGAAGGTGGTCCATTTATAGTTGGTGTCTCTATCAGGTTGTTTTGACAAGCAGATTCACTGAAACCGATTTTTGCTTATCATCTGAAGCTGAATATTGGAATTTGTTTCCAGAGATTCTCCGACAGCTCTATGGGGAGGCTAGTGAAGGAGCATCACAAGAAGCGAGTCTTCAGGCTTGGCTGTCACTGCTACCTGGCAATATCTCTGCTATGATCCAGCTAGCACTGCGTCAGGAGCGACCATTCCTTCTACCAGGTGTCACCCCAGAGATGATGGCAGAAACCAATGACACTCTACCATGCATGAACCATATTGAGATTCTCTATGTAGGAACTTGGATTTATTTTACAAAATGTTTCTTTATATCATTTTGGTCTTCAAAAACCCTTTTGTGTACTTGTAATAGGTTAGACCAATTGGTTGTGTACCTGAATGAGTTTGTGTTACATAGTGTCATACAGCTCTGGCTTTTGTGCATCAATACACTTCTATCCTCTGTAACTAAGAGGCCTATGAAGATAAAACTTGGTAAGAATAATCCTAGTAATGGTGTTTCTTAAACAGCCTTACATTATTCCAAACAAATTTTGAATTTGTCAACATGGACACTACAGCATCCATGACAGATACAGAATATTTGTTTGTTTAGAGATGCATAGCGAAAGCAGCAGTAGCAGACATGGACACCATGGCAGCACTCATCTATGTGGTAGACCGAGCTGCATACAGGTTTGGGGCCTCCAGGGCCCTGCTGCAGGTCTTGAACATCCTCCTGGACAGAGCGCCCCACACACCAGTGGCACCACAGGTCATCATCAGGAAGGCCCGGGTGATGAAGGACGATGGTGACCTTCATGGAGCTGTCCGAGTGCTGGACGCTGTCATAACAAGGGGTAGAGAGGATTTTTTCATACAATACAGGGTCATGACAGGCTCACTGTATCATCCACTGATTCTATAGAGATGATGTATTGGGCTCTGCTCTTGTTTCCAGACAGTGTGTGGGACTATAGAGATGATGTATTGGGCTCTGCTCTTGTTTCCAGACAGTGTGTGGGACTATAGAGATGATGTAGTGGGCTCTGCTCTTGTTTCCAGACAGTGTGTGGGACTATAGAGATGATGTATTGGGCTCTGCTCTTGTTTCCAGACAGTGTGTGGGACTATAAAGATGATGTATTGGGCTCTGCTCTTGTTTCCAGGCAGTGTGTGGGACAATAGAGATGATGTATTGGGCTCTGCTCTTGTTTCCAGACAGTGTGTGGGACTATAGAGATGATGTATCGGGCTCTGCTCTTGTTTCCAGACAGTGTGTGGGACTATAGAGATGATGTATCGGGCTCTGCTCTTGTTTCCAGACAGTGTGTGGGACTATAGAGATGATGTATTGGGCTCTGCTCTTGTTTCCAGACAGTGTGTGGGACTATAGAGATGATGTAGTGGGCTCTGCTCTTGTTTCCAGACAGTGTGTGGGACTATAGAGATGATGTATTGGGCTCTGCTCTTGTTTCCAGACAGTGTGTGGGACTATAGAGATGATGTATTGGGCTCTGCTCTTGTTTCCAGACAGTGTGTGGGACAATAGAGATGATGTATCGGGCTCTGCTCTTGTTTACAGACAGTGTGTGGGACTATAGAGATGATGTATTGGGCTCTGCTCTTGTTTCCAGACAGTGTGTGGGACTATAGAGATGATGTATTGGGCTCTGCTCTTGTTTCCAGACACTGTGTGGGTCTATAGAGATGATGTATTGGGCTCTGCTTTTGTTTCCAGACAGTGTGTGGGTCTATAGAGATGATGTATTGGGCTCTGCTCTTGTTTACAGACAGTGTGTGGGACTATAGAGATGATGTAGTGGGCTCTGCTCTTGTTTACAGACAGTGTGTGGGACTATAGAGATGATGTATTGGGCTCTGCTCTTGTTTCCAGACAGTGTGTGGGACTATAGAGATGATGTATTGGGCTCTGCTCTTGTTTCCAGACAGTGTGTGGGACAATAGAGATGATGTAGTGGGCTCTGCTCTTGTTTCCAGACACTGTGTGGAATTATAGAGATGATGTATCGGGCTCTGCTCTTGTTTCCAGACAGTGTGTGGGACTATAGAGATGATGTAGTGGGCTCTGCTCTTGTTTCCAGACAGTGTGTGGGACTATAGAGATGATGTATTGGGCTCTGCTCTTGTTTCCAGACAGTGTGTGGGACTATAGAGATGATGTATTGGGCTCTGCTCTTGTTTCCAGACAGTGTGTGGGACTATAGAGATGATGTATTGGGCTCTGCTCTTGTTTACAGACAGTGTGTGGGACTATAGAGATGATGTATTGGGCTCTGCTCTTGTTTCCAGACAGTAGTGGGACTATAGAGATGATGTATCGGGCTCTGCTCTTGTTTCCAGACAGTAGTGGAACTATAGAGATGATGTATTGGGCTCTGCTCTTGTTTACAGACAGTGTGTGGGACTATAGAGATGATGTATTGGGCTCTGCTCTTGTTTCCAGACAGTGTGTGGGACTATAGAGATGATGTATTGGGCTCTGCTCTTGTTTCCAGACAGTAGTGGGACTATAGAGATGATGTATCGGGCTCTGCTCTTGTTTACAGACAGTGTGTGGGACTATAGAGATGGTGTATTGGGCTCTGCTCTTGTTTCCAGACAGTAGTGGGACTATAGAGATGATGTATCGGGCTCTGCTCTTGTTTACAGACAGTGTGTGGGACTATAGAGATGATGTATTGGGCTCTGCTCTTGTTTACAGACAGTGTGTGGGACTATAGAGATGGTGTATTGGGCTCTGCTCTTGTTTCCAGACAGTGTGTGGGACTATAGAGATGATGTATTGGGCTCTGCTCTTGTTTCCAGACAGTGTGTGGGACTATAGAGATGATGACCAATACAACAATGTCAAGGCTGTTTGTGTGCAGATCAAGGGTCATATTCTTCACAATCTAGGTATGTTTGTCGTGTACTCTTAGATCAATTGTATATACAGTGAAACCTCTTCATACAGATGATACTTTTCCCACCGGAATCATACAGATTACCAAATTGTCATTACAGAATAATGTTCCTCTGGATATTCCTAGACATCCCAACTTGGGTGTCTGCAAGGTGCCTGGTAGGGTTCCCCAAGGGTCTGGACTAACATGCTGTCACTGTACAGCCAAACACTCTTCAGGAAAAGATCACACTAACACTTTTTGCCTAATGCAATAAATTTGTTTTATCTAAGTACTGTAAACAACAATAGAAAAGTAGTTTAACAATTGTTGGTTTATTGGTGACCTTGTAACATGATTTGTGATGTTTGTTGTTTGACACAAGCAATATGACAGCTGTATGATGGAGGCCTGTAAATAATCAGATTAACCTGTGATTGAGTTGATGTGGTTGTGGTATGAATGCACTCCACCAAGGCACTGAGCCTCTTGGAACAAGCATTGATTACCGGGGACAAATTCTAACCTGGAATCCCTGAAGGGCTGACCTATTAACAGCATCATATGTGGACTTTATTCCATGTACAATTTGGTATAACACTTCATTAAGGTCAAGTTTTTGTTTGATATATAGAATATTTACACAGTGTGTAATACAGCTGTATGTTTATTAGATGGGTGATCTCTTCACGGGCAAGTAATAAAAGCAAATAATACATGTGAACTGTTTTTGACATATTAGTAAGACCACATGTTTCTTTTTACTTGCTTTATAAATTTTTTATGGGATTTTTGTAAGTGGGAAAATAAATAAATAAAGCAATTCAATTTTTTAAAAAGTGTTCTGCTTCAGTACAGGTCAGCTGGTATAAAAACATAAAAACAGTTTAATGTGGGAGGAGAGTCTGCAACACAGCTGTTGCTTTAAGCAATGCAAACCTCACGAATCCAGATGTTGTGCATCTACCCCCGGTATGCCTCCTTTCAGTTTCAGAAACAACAACAAACTTTATTTTGACTCCCATGTTTAACATTTATCAACTTCAGGTGGTCCTTGTTTAGGAAATATGTTTTGGGGGCAATATGCTATCAGCTTATTGGCAGGATAAAAAAATAGAGAGCAAATTCTGAAACAAAATTTACAGTTGGCAGACCCATAAAGCAAGTAATAACTTAAGTGTGGCCCAACAATTAGAAACAGTAACAAAGAAAGAATGGTTATTTAAAATAATAAATATGATAATAGATATACCTTGTCATAGGACCCCTTATACATTTTCATATTTCAACCGTTTAGGAATGTGGAAAGACGCCATTGAGCCCTTGGTAGAATCGGTTGACTCTTTTAACAAGATCCATGATGACAAGGGAACATCATCTTCCCTTGGGCTTCTGACCAAATGCCTGAAGAAGCTTACGATGGCTGACTACAATGAAATGAAACAAAAGTACCCTACAATGTTCTCCCAGTCTCATCCCTGCTATGAGGCCTATGTCAAGGGAATGGATGCCGTCAAGTACATCGTAGACCTGGGACAGACACTCTATGTTGCCAAACACCAAGTAAGCAACATAGGCATGGTCCAGAGATAAATATATAGCCAATGTTAAGGGTGATGAATGATGGAATGTGCATCATGGGGCCAGTAGGATCAAGTGGTTGCAGTTTTGTGGGGTACAAATTCAATTACATTTTAGTGTCATTTCAGTAGATCTCAATGAAAGCCTAATAGTTTGCTTATTCTGGACTCAAACATTGAAGGTCAGTGATATATTGTCAGCCTTTATATAGACTAAGTTCGTATTTTTATCCCCCGCCACGAAGTAGAGCAGGGGAGATAGGAAGATCACTTGCACTTGAAAGTTTGCATGCTTATCTAGGAGATACTTGTCAAGAATGTGTTTGAAAATTGATAACGTAAATTATTTTTACATAGTTATGTCTCTTGATCCATGCTCTACAATTTAGTGCATAGTGTCTGCAGTGGGGACAAGTTTTCTCAGAAACTACTAAAGCTTATCAAAGAGATACTTACGAGGGGTGTTCATTAAAGATTTTCCCTGACCCACTTCCGATGGACCTAGTGGAATGAAACTTGGCATAGGTATTAGTCTTTCTCCACATAGGAACCACCAAGAGTTACACACTTCTCCCATCGTTTTATACAACTATGGAGACCTCGCTTGTAAAAGCCCTCATTTTGCGTCTCAAACCAGGACTTGACTTCAGAAATCAGTGTTTCATCATCTGTGAAACGTTTTCCCTTCAAAAATGACTTCATGGTTGGAAAGAGGTGGAAGTCAGATGGTGCAAGGTCAGGAGAGTAAGGAGGATGTGGAAGGATTTCATAGCCACAGGACCGCGCTTCTGTCTCGGCAACATGAGAGTTGTGTACTGGAGCATTGTCTTGCAGGAGACGGACACCCTTGGTCAGCGAACAGTTATACGTCTGTCTGTCAAAATGGCGGTCTCCACTTGATGGATAGTGTCCTCATCAATGGCTGAATGGGGGCGACCAGGAATGGCAGCTGTTTCCACAGATGTCCGACCACACTTGAACTGGCGATGCCAGTGTTTAACAACGTCATATGATGGGGCATCTTCCCCTTGAGTTGCTTTCATTTCATCGAAGTTTCTTTTGGTGTGTGACCTTTCAAATATAAAAACCTAATCACTGCTCGGTATTCTACTGGCTCCATTGTCACACCCTACTCGATCATAACACCTGTAAAAGTGGTAAGATTAATAGTTTGGTGCTGCAAATTCAGACATAACCCAAAGATACATGTATCATTACACATGTGAAATTTCAACCAAATATGATAACCCTAAGTGGTTTAGGGGAAATCTTTAATGAACACCCCTCGTATCAAGACTGAATTTGAGAATTGGTGCCATAAATCATCTTTTCCAGAGGCCTTTTGTGTGTATTAATTTCACATTTAATAATATTTTTCTGATGACATAAAGCAATCCTAGTGCCCATCTCTTCTTAAGGCTTTATAGGACTCTTTTTTATCGTTTATATTCTCTACTGTATGAAAAAACAAACTTCTTATGTGCCGCATGGTGGTGATAGTGATAACGGTGTTTCTTTGTTTTGTTTAGTCTTATTTGTTGTTAGACTTCTTACACCCTATAGTAAGATGTAATACTCCAGCCATGCCTAGGAGGTGTTGAGAAGGCACCACAGAAGACATCTCTTGTTATAAAAAATGGCTGCATTATTTCGGAACATTGTTTGATAAGCTACAGTAATATACCACTGAACATTAATGTTTCTGCCAAATACAACCTGCTGTTATGTTTCAGCTTGTTGCTGAGGAATCCTTGCTGATGTTTGCTCTTCAGAAGCCACCTTCTTTGAGAGAGTTCATGTGGTTCCAGACCATTGTGGCAGACATCAAGAAAACTCTCGCTACACATGAAACTGTCAGCAATCTCAAGAGTCTGGAAACATATTTTGAGTTTGTGAAAGCAATTTTCCTGATTCATTTGACCTTATACTTCTCTCCCTTTCCTCAAGACCGTTCATTATCCAAGTACCTGGAGCAGGTCAGTATTGAGCTGTACCGCCATCTTTGTTCTTGTCAGACCAGACGTCAACTTGTGACAAACTTGGAACATACCAGGAACTCTGTGTCTTTCATGAATGCATCTCTTGGCATCCTGGGATTGCCCATGCTACAGGGCACTGATAGTGTCTCGGTGAATGTGGAAGTGTCATCACCAGCATCAGACGACTCCTCTGACAAAACACAAGGGAAAGCAGATACCGTTAAAGAGTCATCAAAAGCAGATCAAATGTCAGATAAAGCAGGTACAGTTCCTGCTGTGCAGAATCCTTTAGCACCTGCTTCCATACAGAATCCTGGCACATTTCCAGGAGCTGTAAAGAGTCAGAACCCCAAAGCAACAGACCTATATTCAAGGAAGTATATAGGACTAACAGTAGATGCATCTTCATTCTCAACAACCTCAGGTTCTTCTAGTCAGTCTGGATCAGATGGGACTTCAAGCAAGGATCCAGAACTTGTGAATCTATCGGTCATCTCCGTTAGTGCCACTATGGAGAAATTTAACATTCTTGATTTAAATTCAGGCTCAGAAATTTTGGGTGCATTTAATGACAAGAATACTGCACCTGCTACCCTAATTTCTGGTCAGACTTCCCATAGAAACAAGACAACTTCTACCTCTGCTTCTTCAGATAAATCATTGACGGACAGTTCAGCCTCCAGGAAGTCCACTTCCTCCAGTTCAGGATCAGCTGGCCTGTCCTCCGCTTCTACTTCTTCCTCTAGAGTCTCCGGAGAGTCTGGGTTTAGTTTCTCCCCATCTCCCACCCAGCATAGCTCCAGTGAATCCTCCACCTCTTATGTGGACTTGTCAGCCACCACAGAAGAGTGGCATAATCTGACTGATGAGACGGGTGAGTTATCTCCCCTAGTGGATCTGAGTTCCTCCACAGTAAACAGCTCACTAGAGGGCCTTCACTTCGGGCACAGTGTTGAAACAAGGAGTGCTGAGGAGTACCTGGAGCATTGGGAGCCGCCCACAGTGGATGAGACTATCAAAGTAAACAGTGAGTGTATCATATAGTTTTTTACTAATCCTGCATTACTCCTTAATGCATTCACTACTTACCTTACGACAAAAGACGGGACAGCGTAGCGGTCCTGGGTGAATAAATAAAACTGTTGCTCGATGTCCCTTTTTTGGTGACTACTGCCGCTGTCCTGTGACCTTGATGACCTGAGGTCACCTCTTCACATCACTGCCTGTCACGCTACAGCATCGATGTGTATCAGCGGAGCTCTTGTTTTGGATTAATTTTGACCTTCAGTTTTCGTCTGCAGTTCTAAAAGTGATGTGTGACGGGTGATGTATTTTTATTTATATTACTCGCACCATGTTGTGCTGTTTGTTCACCGCCATTTTGAATTTTGTTACAATTGTTTGCATGTCAGGGTAGTCAATTTGTTGACAAATCTCAGCTACTTATGCTACTTAACATATTTATGTGTTCTTAAATACTACTAGCTTTGGCGTTACATTGAGTTGCGTATATACAAATTATTGAATACACTTTCAACTTGTTACAATATTTTTCCAGTCCCACTTCATCAAAAAGTCTATATTTGTGTAACTTATGCTTGCGTATTGTACTAAAACGTGGAAAACAATCTGCTAAAGATCCTCATCAACGTTGTCTGGCATGGATGCAAATTTGTGCATCAAACTCTAAATGTGTCTTTTGTGTAAATCTCTCTTCAACGAGTTTTACAACTTATAGGCAGGTCACTCACAAACGTATTTTGCAGCTATCCCGTCGTGAGACTAGGAAGATGTCACAATCCCTGAATAGCAAGGGACATAGTTCAGTCATTACTACACAACCATTATCTTCGGCGCATAATATGTCGGCCATTACTGTCACTGCTGAAGTGCACGCTTTGCAGAAAACATCAAATCCAGAGGATTTTGTGAGTATCATAACTGACCCTATTTTTCAGCCGCCTGAGGCATCTAGATCTACTAGATCTGTGACGTCTGCACCAGTGTCTCAAGACGCTTTGATGGGGGTAGCGCAAACCCATGCCTGCTAACACCATTGAGCATTGCGTCTCAGATACCTAAAATGACATCAGCCCCAGGGCTATCAGTGAACAATGCTCCGCAGGCAACGCATGATCAGCTTAGTACATAGTGCTGTACCAACATATCCAGCGCAGCAGATGCATCAGGCGTCACACCGTTACAGAACACTAATTGGATGCAATTTTGCAGTCCATGTGGCAGCAGTCCATGACGCAATTGTATCCTGCTCCCACGCCTATGCCTTTGTATCAGACGCCTGCGCCAGTTTCATCTATGGCAGAGGTAGCACTACACATCAGAGTAAAAGCCGTTCACCTTTAGCTCCCAGTCGTCCCAGTTGTCGTTACGTTCTCAACATACTATGTCGCGGTTACCAACTAGAGGTAGAGGTACTTCCACAGTTGACCAAAGCTCCACTTCCTTGGTATTATCAAAGAAAGCAATATCTTCTATTAAAGGCTAGCATAGACATTCTGTTGGTAAAGAGAGCCGTAGAGATTGTACACACACCAGTGTTAACACCAGGTTTATATTCCCACATCTTCCTGGTAACCAAGAAGGACTCAGACAAGATGAGAATGATACACAATCTCTCTGTATTTGAACGTTTCCTGAGCGTCTCGATCTGTGGGATGCCTACCTGATATACCGATCCATCCCTCAGACCGCAGGTGCCTCAGATTCCAGTTCAATGGGGTTCACTACCAGCGGGCAGTGCTCCCATTTACACGAGTATTGAAGCCTATGACTGAGTTTCTACACCTGAGGAACATTTGGTTTGAGTCGTACATAGACGACTGTCTCCTGTGTCATTGACACACGCAGACATTAGTAAGCCCCCGGAATTTCACCAGAAGCCTACTGTATCAACTGGGGTGGATAATCAACGAGGCGAAGTCAGAGTTAACTCCATCCTATCGACTCCAGTTCATAGGAGGCCTGTTCCAAACAGACCAGGATGTCTTATCAGTTCCAAGGGACAGATGGCACAAGATTTTATGCCTCCTGTCACCTGCTCTTCATCAACCATGCACACTTTGGCAATGGCAAGTGTTGTTAGGGTTACTCACCTCAGCACAGAATCTAACCAGCAGAAGCCAATTACAATTACGCCATATTCAACAACTCAAGGCCATCACTCTAATCTAGCTCAACTAAGGCCTTACCTCAATTGGTGGACAGTAGAGGACTGTAGAGACTAAAGTCTTTGGAGGAGTCTCTTTATCTGAATTAACCACTGAATCTACACCTGTTCGTAGATGCCTCCCTTCAGGGCCAGACAGTCTCAGGGCTATGGTCTGGCGCTCATTGAAAGTGCACATAAACAACTAGGAGTTGGAAGCATTGATTCTGGCCATATCACATTGGCAGAATCATCTACAGTTCGCCCAAATTGCAATATCCACAGACAAAAGTACTGTGGTGTAGTGTGTGTACAATGAGGGAACAACCCACTCCCACTCCCTGTTTCAACAGACATTCAGGTTTTTCCATCTAGTGGATCGTCTGCAACAACAGTTCATAGTTCAACACATCCCCGGATGTCAACATTCTGGCCGATGTTTTATCGCGTCCAGACAGGGTGGCCCCCACCGAGTCGAAACTTCACACAGAAGCATTCCAGTTACTGCTTCAGAAAATCGGGCAATCACACATTGACCTGTTTGCAACTTGCCAAAATTACCAACTCATGACGTATGTCTCCCCGTTACCGTATCCGCAGACTTGGGCAGTAGACTTGTTCAGAATTCATTGGGAAGGGTTAAATGTGTAGGCCTTTCCGCCACCAGTCTTACTTCCCAGGGTAATGCAAAAGATTAAGGAGACAAGGAGCCTTGCTCTGACTTTGGTTGCACCCTGGTGGCTGTTGAGAGGGTGGTTCGTCAAGCTCAGAAATCTAGCAGAGGATGATCCACTCCCCCTCCCACAGCGGTCCAACCTACTTATCCACCCTCACAGCAAATTGCCTCATCCAACCAAAGACAGGTTTCGTCTGCACACTTGGTTCATCTTAAAAAGGCGTTAAGTTCAAAGGGCTATTCGGCACGGGCAGCAAAAGCTATAATGTTAGCTCATCGTCCCTCTTCTAGAGGCCTATATGATGACAAGTGGGGATCGTTTGAAACTTTTTGCAAGGCAAAGAATCAAGACCCTACCACTGCATCACCACAATTCCTAGCTGAATACCTCCTACATTTGCATAACCCAAAGACACTTGAAAGGTAGCATCATTACTACGTACTTAGTTGCACTTAACTCAGTATTGGCCGTTCCAGAAAATTGCAAAATGACCAAGGTCCCGGAACTACAGGCCCTACTCCGCTCATTCATGCTTGAGGATCAGAAGGCCAAGTTCCGCCCACATGCTTGGGACTTGAATGTGGTGCTTCGAGGTTTGCGAGGGCCCCCCTTCAAGTCCCTCTATACATCCTCATTTTATTACCTCCCCAAGAAAACAGTGTTTCTCTTGGAATTAGCCATGCTAGTAAGGGTGAGCGAACTACATGCAATCGAAATCATCGGGGTTCGCTTTGAGCAGGGGACGGAGTGGTACATCTCGGGTGGTGCTAGGAGTTTATTGCCAACTACCAGGCCAACCTGATCGTTCCTTCACCATCCAACCAATATCGACTATTGTGGGAAACGTAGATGAGGGTGAACTTCTACTATGCCTGGTGCGGGCACTGCAAATTTTCATCTGCAGTTCCAAGACTAGGCGTGGTTCGAGGAAGCAGTTATTTATACCCGTTTCTCCTACATCCACGACCGAAGTTAGACGCAACACCATATCTCTATGGTTACGCGCAGTCATCCTTCAGGCTTATTCGATTGCCAATCTGGATCCGCCGAGAACGAATAATCCTCAGGGCGCCTGCCTCTACCATGGCTTTACACAGCAGTTATTGTTAAAAAAACGTTCTGGAGGTCTGACACAGATTTCGCCAGTCATTAATTATCTTCGCGATGTGACTCTTGAGGAGGACAAAGGTATACAAAGTTTTGGGCCACTGGTTGTTGCCCAGCAGGTTACCAAACCCTGACGCACCTCCAAACTGTCTGATACAGATGCATTATGCAGGATAAGTAAAAAAATTAGTAAAACATTTTTTACATTTGTATACTTATCCTGCATTACTACATTTAAGGCCTACCTGTCGCAGACTTGCCTCCCCAGTTTGGCTTCAGAAACCTAAAAAGTATGTTTTTCTAAAAGCTCGGGTGACAGGTAGTGATGTGAAGAGGTGACCTCAGGTCATCAAGGTCACAGGACAGCGGCGGTGGTCACCAAAAGTGGGACTACAAACAACAGTTTTATTTCTTCACCCAGGACCATCACCGTTACGCTGTCTCGTCTTTTGTCGTAAGGTAAGCAGTGAATGCATTAAGGAGTAATGCAGGATAAGTATACAATTGTAAAAAATATTTAGATATTACTAATATCGTATTCCGCGTAATAAGCGCTCAGGGTGCTCTCAAAATTAGAAATAGGGGGCTCTTATTAGAATGGTATTTTGGTGAATTTTGTTTGTTTGTGGTTTATGCTGACAGCCTAAAAATGTTTGTATACGACACATATATTTTTCCAGAATTTAATTGCCCATAATTAAGGGTGCATATAACACAACTGTCGTATTATACACAAATAAATAAGTCTTGTGTACATTGATTAATCAGAAGGGGTGCTAATTGGGAGTGTTCACTAGCCAATATATTAACAAATATCGCTGTGGGCGCTTATTAGAGCGGGGCGCTTATTACGTCGAATACGATATGCTTCTATTGCCAGTACTACTGGCATGCACTGAGAACAACTGACAACACATTAATTACAAACTAAAACACAATATTTGGATGTCTTATTGGCCTTCTGTCTGATTGTAGTACCCTGTAGTGTATGTGTAAGATGCAAATTGTCTTTTATTTTATTATTATTAAGTTACATTTGTCCTTGTATAACAACCAGTGCAGCTTGTCTGGTGTTTGTATTAGGAGATATGAGAGAGCTGTGACTTCTGGTCCACCTGTGATCTGACTGCATGATTCTCAAGTGACCAGCTGGCCACGCTGTACTGACAATACTAACAGTTGATGTGCATGTTCCCTGACAGAGGCCCTGTTGCTGACCTACAACCCTGTGACAGGGGACTGGCTGTCTCAGAGTACACTCGTACACAGGGGACAGGAACTGGACCTTGGAGGCAACAGGAAGGGCAACTGTCGAGAGGTGTTCGAGGTCTACTTCCTCCATCAGGATGAACCACTGGGCAGGTAGGACACATCACTGGGGGCAGGTAGGACACATCACTGGAGGCAGGTAGGACACATCACTGGAGGCAGGTAGGACACATCACTGGAGGCAGGTAGGACACATCACTGGAGGCAGGTAGGACACATCACTGGGGGCAGGTAGGACACATCACTGGAGGCAGGTAGGACACATCACTGGAGGCAGGTAGGACACATCACTGGGGGCAGGTAGGACACATCACTGGGGGCAGGTAGGACACAGCACTGGAGGCAGGTAGGACACATCACTGGAGGCAGGTAGGACACATCACTGGAGGCAGGTAGGACACATCACTGGGGGCAGGTAGGACACATCACTGGAGGCAGGTAGGACACATCACTGGAGGCAGGTAGGACACATCACTGGGGGCAGGTAGGACACATCACTGGAGGCAGGTAGGACACATCACTGGGGGCAGGTAGGAAACATCACTGGGGGCAGGTAGGACACATCACTGGAGGCAGGTAGGACACATCACTGGGCAGGTAGGACACATCACTGGGGGCAGGTAGGACACATCACTGGAGGCAGGTAGGACACATCACTGGAGGCAGGTAGGACACATCACTGGGCAGGTAGGACACATCACTGGGGGCAGGTAGGACACATCACTGGAGGCAGGTAGGACACATCACTGGGGGCAGGTAGGACACATCACTGGAGGCAGGTAGGACACATCACTGGAGGCAGGTAGGACACATCACTGGAGGCAGGTAGGACACATCACTGGGGGCAGGTAGGACACATCACTGGGGGCAGGTAGGACACATCACTGGGGGCAGGTAGGACACATCACTGGAGGCAGGTAGGACACATCACTGGGGGCAGGTAGGACACATCACTGGGGGCAGGTAGGACACATCACTGGAGGCAGGTAGGACACATCACTGGAGGCAGGTAGGACACATCACTGGGGGCAGGTAGGACACATCACTGGAGGCAGGTAGGACACATCACTGGGGGCAGGTAGGACACATCACTGGAGGCAGGTAGGACACATCACTGGGGGCAGGTAGGACACATCACTTGAGGCAGGTAGGACACATCACTGGGGGCAGGTAGGACACATCACTGGAGGCAGGTAGGACACACCACTGGAGGCAGGTAGGACACATCACTGGGGGCAGGTAGGACACATCACTGGGGGCAGGTAGGACACATCACTGGGGGCAGGTAGGACACATCACTGGGGGCAGGTAGGACACATCACTGGGGGCAGGTAGGACACATCACTGGGGGCAGGTAGGACACATCACTGGAGGCAGGTAGGACACATCACTGGGGGCAGGTAGGACACATCACTTGAGGCAGGTAGGACACATCACTGGGGGCAGGTAGGACACATCACTGGAGGCAGGTAGGACACACCACTGGAGGCAGGTAGGACACATCACTGGGGGCAGGTAGGACACATCACTGGGGGCAGGTAGGACACATCACTGGAGGCAGGTAGGACACATCACTGGGGGCAGGTAGGACACATCACTGGGGGCAGGTAGGACACACCACTGGAGGCAGGTAGGACACATCACTGGAGGCAGGTAGGACACATCACTGGGGGCAGGTAGGACACATCACTGGAGGCAGGTAGGACACATCACTGGAGGCAGGTAGGACACATCACTGGGGGCAGGTAGGACACATCACTGGAGGCAGGTAGGACACATCACTGGAGGCAGGTAGGACACATCACTGGAGGCAGGTAGGACACATCACTGGGGGCAGGTAGGACACAGCACTGGAGGCAGGTAGGACACATCACTGGGGGCAGGTAGGACACAGCACTGGAGGCAGGTAGGACACATCACTGGGGGTAGGTAGGACACAGCACTGGAGGCAGGTAGGACACATCACTGGAGGCAGGTAGGACACATCACTGGAGGCAGGTAGGACACATCACTGGGGGCAGGTAGGACACATCACTGGGGGCAGGTAGGACACATCACTGGAGGCAGGTAGGACACATCACTGGAGGCAGGTAGGACACATCACTGGAGGCAGGTAGGACACATCACTGGGGGCAGGTAGGACACATCACTGGGGGTAGGTAGGACACATCACTGGGGGCAGGTAGGACACATCACTGGGGGCAGGTAGGACACATCACTGGAGGCAGGTAGGACACATCACTTGAGGCAGGTAGGACACATCACTGGAGGCAGGTAGGACACATCACTGGGGGCAGGTAGGACACATCACTGGAGGCAGGTAGGACACATCACTGGAGGCAGGTAGGACACATCACTGGGGGCAGGTAGGACACATCACTGGGGGCAGGTAGGACACATCACTGGGGGCAGGTAGGACACATCACTGGGGGCAGGTAGGACACATCACTGGAGGCAGGTAGGACACATCACTGGAGGCAGGTAGGACACATCACTGGAGGCAGGTAGGACACATCACTGGGGGCAGGTAGGACACATCACTGGGGGCAGGTAGGACACATCACTGGAGGCAGGTAGGACACATCACTGGAGGCAGGTAGGACACATCACTGGAGGCAGGTAGGACACATCACTGGAGGCAGGTAGGACACATCACTGGAGGCAGGTAGGACACATCACTGGAGGCAGGTAGGACACATCACTGGAGGCAGGTAGGACACATCACTGGAGGCAGGTAGGACACATCACTGGGGGCAGGTAGGACACATCACTGGAGGCAGGTAGGACACATCACTGGAGGCAGGTAGGACACATCACTGGAGGCAGGTAGGACACATCACTGGAGGCAGGTAGGACACATCACTGGGGGCAGGTAGGACACATCACTGGAGGCAGGTAGGACACATCACTGGGGGCAGGTAGGACACATCACTGGAGGCAGGTAGGACACATCACTGGAGGCAGGTAGGACACATCACTGGGGGCAGGTAGGACACATCACTGGAGGCAGGTAGGACACATCACTGGAGGCAGGTAGGACACATCACTGGGGGCAGGTAGGACACATCACTGGAGGCAGGTAGGACACATCACTGGAGGCAGGTAGGACACATCACTGGGGGCAGGTAGGACACATCACTGGAGGCAGGTAGGACACATCACTGGGGGCAGGTAGGACACATCACTGGAGGCAGGTAGGACACATCACTGGAGGCAGGTAGGACACATCACTGGAGGCAGGTAGGACACATCACTGGAGGCAGGTAGGACACATCACTGGGGGCAGGTAGGACACATCACTGGAGGCAGGTAGGACACATCACTGGGGGCAGGTAGGACACATCACTGGAGGCAGGTAGGACACATCACTGGAGGCAGGTAGGACACATCACTGGGGGCAGGTAGGACACATCACTGGAGGCAGGTAGGACACATCACTGGAGGCAGGTAGGACACATCACTGGGGGCAGGTAGGACACATCACTGGAGGCAGGTAGGACACATCACTGGGGGCAGGTAGGACACATCACTGGAGGCAGGTAGGACACATCACTGGAGGCAGGTAGGACACATCACTGGGGGCAGGTAGGACACATCACTGGGGGCAGGTAGGACACATCACTGGAGGCAGGTAGGACACATCACTGGGGGCAGGTAGGACACATCACTGGGGGCAGGTAGGACACATCACTGGAGGCAGGTAGGACACATCACTGGGGGCAGGTAGGACACATCACTGGGGGCAGGTAGGACACATCACTGGAGGCAGGTAGGACACATCACTGGAGGCAGGTAGGACACATCACTGGGGGCAGGTAGGACACATCACTTGAGGCAGGTAGGAAACATCACTGGGGGCAGGTAGGACACATCACTGGGGGCAGGTAGGACACATCACTGGAGGCAGGTAGGACACATCACTGGGGGCAGGTAGGACACATCACTGGAGGCAGGTAGGACACATCACTGGAGGCAGGTAGGACACATCACTGGGGGCAGGTAGGACACATCACTGGGGGCAGGTAGGACACATCACTGGAGGCAGGTAGGACACATCACTGGAGGCAGGTAGGACACATCACTGGAGGCAGGTAGGACACATCACTGGAGGCAGGTAGGACACATCACTGGGGGCAGGTAGGACACATCACTGGAGGCAGGTAGGACACATCACTGGGGGCAGGTAGGACACATCACTGGGGGCAGGTAGGACACATCACTGGAGGCAGGTAGGACACATCACTGGAGGCAGGTAGGACACATCACTGGAGGCAGGTAGGACACATCACTGGAGGCAGGTAGGACACATCACTGGGGGCAGGTAGGACACATCACTGGAGGCAGGTAGGACACAGCACTGGAGGCAGGTAGGACACATCACTGGGGGCAGGTAGGACACATCACTGGAGGCAGGTAGGACACATCACTGGGGGCAGGTAGGACACATCACTGGGGGCAGGTAGGACACATCACTGGAGGCAGGTAGGACACATCACTGGAGGCAGGTAGGACACATCACTGGAGGCAGGTAGGACACATCACTGGAGGCAGGTAGGACACATCACTGGGGGCAGGTAGGACACATCACTGGAGGCAGGTAGGACACAGCACTGGAGGCAGGTAGGACACATCACTGGAGGCAGGTAGGACACATCACTGGAGGCAGGTAGGACACATCACTGGGGGCAGGTAGGACACATCACTGGAGGCAGGTAGGACACATCACTGGGGGCAGGTAGGACACATCACTGGGGGCAGGTAGGACACATCACTGGAGGCAGGTAGGACACATCACTGGAGGCAGGTAGGACACATCACTGGGGGCAGGTAGGACACATCACTGGAGGCAGGTAGGACACATCACTGGAGGCAGGTAGGACACATCACTGGAGGCAGGTAGGACACATCACTGGGGGCAGGTAGGACACATCACTGGAGGCAGGTAGGACACATCACTGGGGGCAGGTAGGACACATCACTGGGGGCAGGTAGGACACATCACTGGAGGCAGGTAGGACACATCACTGGGGGCAGGTAGGACACATCACTGGGGGCAGGTAGGACACATCACTGGGGGCAGGTAGGACACATCACTGGAGGCAGGTAGGACACATCACTGGAGGCAGGTAGGACACATCACTGGAGGCAGGTAGGACACATCACTGGAGGCAGGTAGGACACATCACTGGGGGCAGGTAGGACACATCACTGGAGGCAGGTAGGACACATCACTGGAGGCAGGTAGGACACACCACTGGGGGCAGGTAGGACACATCACTGGGGGCAGGTAGGACACATCACTGGGGGCAGGTAGGACACATCACTGGAGGCAGGTAGGACACATCACTGGGGGCAGGTAGGACACATCACTGGAGGCAGGTAGGACACACCACTGGAGGCAGGTAGGACACATCACTGGGGGCAGGTAGGACACATCACTGGGGGCAGGTAGGACACATCACTGGGGGCAGGTAGGACACATCACTGGGGGCAGGTAGGACACATCACTGGGGGCAGGTAGGACACATCACTGGGGGCAGGTAGGACACATCACTGGAGGCAGTTAGGACACATCACTGGGGGCAGGTAGGACACACCACTGGGGGCAGGTAGGACACATCACTGGGGGCAGGTAGGACACATCACTGGGGGCAGGTAGGACACATCACTGGGGGCAGGTAGGACACATCACTGGGGGCAGGTAGGACACATCACTGGGGGCAGGTAGGACACACCACTGGGGGCAGGTAGGACACATCACTGGGGGCAGGTAGGACACATCACTGGAGGCAGGTAGGACACATCACTGGGGGCAGGTAGGACACATCACTGGGGGCAGGTAGGACACATCACTGGGGGCAGGTAGGACACATCACTGGGGGCAGGTAGGACACATCACTGGAGGCAGTTAGGACACATCACTGGGGGCAGGTAGGACACATCACTTGAGGCAGGTAGGACACATCACTGGGGGCAGGTAGGACACATCACTGGAGGCAGGTAGGACACACCACTGGAGGCAGGTAGGACACATCACTGGGGGCAGGTAGGACACATCACTGGAGGCAGGTAGGACACATCACTGGAGGCAGGTAGGACACATCACTGGGGGCAGGTAGGACACATCACTGGAGGCAGGTAGGACACATCACTGGGGGCAGGTAGGACACATCACTGGGGGCAGGTAGGACACATCACTGGGGGCAGGTAGGACACATCACTGGGGGCAGGTAGGACACACCACTGGAGGCAGGTAGGACACATCACTGGGGGCAGGTAGGACACATCACTGGGGGCAGGTAGGACACATCACTGGGGGCAGGTAGGACACATCACTGGGGGCAGGTAGGACACATCACTGGAGGCAGGTAGGACACATCACTGGAGGCAGGTAGGACACATCACTGGGGGCAGGTAGGACACATCACTGGAGGCAGGTAGGACACATCACTGGAGGCAGGTAGGACACATCACTGGGGGCAGGTAGGACACATCACTTGAGGCAGGTAGGAAACATCACTGGGGGCAGGTAGGAAACATCACTGGAGGCAGGTAGGACACATCACTGGGGGCAGGTAGGACACATCACTGGGGGCAGGTAGGACACATCACTGGGGGCAGGTAGGACACATCACTGGGGGCAGGTAGGACACATCACTGGGGGCAGGTAGGACACATCACTGGAGGCAGGTAGGACACATCACTGGGGGCAGGTAGGACACATCACTGGGGGCAGGTAGGACACATCACTGGAGGCAGGTAGGACACATCACTGGAGGCAGGTAGGACACATCACTGGGGGCAGGTAGGACACATCACTTGAGGCAGGTAGGAAACATCACTGGGGGCAGGTAGGAAACATCACTGGAGGCAGGTAGGACACATCACTGGAGGCAGGTAGGACACATCACTGGGGGCAGGTAGGACACATCACTGGGGGCAGGTAGGACACATCACTGGAGGCAGGTAGGACACATCACTGGAGGCAGGTAGGACACATCACTGGAGGCAGGTAGGACACATCACTGGAGGCAGGTAGGACACATCACTGGAGGCAGGTAGGACACATCACTGGAGGCAGGTAGGACACATCACTGGGGGCAGGTAGGACACACCACTGGAGGCAGGTAGGACACATCACTGGGGGCAGGTAGGACACATCACTGGGGGCAGGTAGGACACACCACTGGAGGCAGGTAGGACACATCACTGGAGGCAGGTAGGACACATCACTGGGGGCAGGTAGGACACAGCACTGGGGGCAGGTAGGACACATCACTGGAGGCAGGTAGGACACATCACTGGAGGCAGGTAGGACACATCACTGGGGGCAGGTAGGACACATCACTGGAGGCAGGTAGGACACATCACTGGAGGCAGGTAGGACACATCACTGGAGGCAGGTAGGACACATCACTGGGGGCAGGTAGGACACATCACTGGGGGCAGGTAGGACACATCACTGGGGGCAGGTAGGACACATCACTGGGGGCAGGTAGGACACATCACTGGGGGCAGGTAGGACACATCACTGGGGGCAGGTAGGACACATCACTGGGGGCAGGTAGGACACATCACTGGGGGCAGGTAGGACACATCACTGGGGGCAGGTAGGACACATCACTGGAGGCAGGTAGGACACATCACTGGGGGCAGGTAGGACACACCACTGGGGGCAGGTAGGACACACCACTGGAGGCAGGTAGGACACATCACTGGGGGCAGGTAGGACACACCACTGGGGGCAGGTAGGACACATCACTGGAGGCAGGTAGGACACATCACTGGGGGCAGGTAGGACACACCACTGGAGGCAGGTAGGACACATCACTGGGGGCAGGTAGGACACACCACTGGGGGCAGGTAGGACACATCACTGGAGGCAGGTAGGACACATCACTGGGGGCAGGTAGGACACATCACTGGAGGCAGGTAGGACACATCACTGGAGGCAGGTAGGACACATCACTGGAGGCAGGTAGGACACATCACTGGAGGCAGGTAGGACACATCACTGGGGGCAGGTAGGACACATCACTGGAGGCAGGTAGGACACATCACTGGGGGCAGGTAGGACACATCACTGGGGGCAGGTAGGACACATCACTGGGGGCAGGTAGGACACACCACTGGGGGCAGGTAGGACACATCACTGGGGGCAGGTAGGACACATCACTGGAGGCAGGTAGGACACATCACTGGAGGCAGGTAGGACACATCACTGGAGGCAGGTAGGACACATCACTGGGGGCAGGTAGGACACATCACTGGAGGCAGGTAGGACACAGCACTGGGGGCAGGTAGGACACATCACTGGAGGCAGGTAGGACACATCACTGGAGGCAGGTAGGACACATCACTGGGGGCAGGTAGGACACATCACTGGGGGCAGGTAGGACACATCACTGGAGGCAGGTAGGACACATCACTGGGGGCAGGTAGGACACATCACTGGAGGCAGGTAGGACACATCACTGGAGGCAGGTAGGACACATCACTGGGCAGGTAGGACACATCACTGGAGGCAGGTAGGACACAGCACTGGAGGCAGGTAGGACACATCACTGGGGGCAGGTAGGACACATCACTGGGGGCAGGTAGGACACATCACTGGAGGCAGGTAGGACACATCACTGGAGGCAGGTAGGACACATCACTGGGGGCAGGTAGGACACATCACTGGAGGCAGGTAGGAAACATCACTGGGGGCAGGTAGGACACATCACTGGAGGCAGGTAGGACACATCACTGGGGGCAGGTAGGACACATCACTGGGGGCAGGTAGGACACATCACTGGAGGCAGGTAGGACACATCACTGGGGGCAGGTAGGACACAGCACTGGGGGCAGGTAGGACACACCACTGGGCATGTGTAGGATGAACTGGTGTGAATTTAGATAAGGACCGGACATTTCATAAGGGACATTTTCTGGCTGTCAGACTACTGGTATGTGTCCATCTTCAGGTGTATGTGTCCAACTACAGGTGTATGTGTGCAACTACAGGTGTATGTGTCTAATTACAGGTATGTGTGCAAGCGGTACTGGCAGCAGCGCCCTGCCCGGTACTACCAGCAGGACGTGGTGTGTCAGATGATGGCCGGCTACTACGTGACCAGGTTTAACCAAGCCCTCCACAACCACCACAGCAACATCCAGGTGAGCTACAGCACAACATGGGGCACCAAGTGATGTTGGTGATAAGACTTCTACAACTCTAATTTGTGTAATTACAAGTTACCATAAAGTTTATCTTATCATGCCATATTTTTCTGCATTGTTTCTGAGTAACTGAAGACAGAGTCAGCTGTATAAACAATCACTTCTGGATAATGACCTGAAAAGTCCTATCATGATAAATTCATTTCCACCCAAATAAAGAACATGTTTGGATTGATTTGAAATACTAAAGTGGTGTTGGGTCCAGATGCAGTTTTTGCCGGCTGCCCATCTTCAGCTCCTGACGCCGGATGGGCTACTGGAGGACTGGGTGAACGTGGAGCCGTACCTCCATGGCGACTTCATCAAGCTCACCAACAACCTGGCCTTCTCTAAGAAGGGGCATCACGGAGAGGAGCTGGCCACGGCCTTGACCCACTTCTCCTACTGCGAGTCCCAGGGAGTGTTGATGATTGTGGACATCCAGGGCTGGTTCCCTAGGGAAGGGAGCGGCATCATCTACCTTACTGACCCCCAGTTCCACACAAAGGGGGTGCGCAGGTTTAGTCCTGCAGACAAACAGGATGAAGGAATGACCCTGTTTTGGTCCAAGGTGCACCCTGAGTGTAACAGTATCTGTTCAAGTCTCGGACTCACCAGACCACAGCAGTAGATGACTTGCTCTGGGCAATGTGAAGGAGGAAACATCTTCAATAGTGAAAAATTTCAAAATTTAACTTTTCTTTTGGACAAATGAATGTTTATTTCTTCGTAAACAATCTGTCCCTGGCCTGGGCAGTTCCATACATCAGTAAGATATGATGTGAAGATGTCCGTGTACATTGACCCATATACACAAGTTCAGAGTAACATTGTCTTCATAGGCCCATGTATTTTTTAAATACTAGTTGACAAATATTTCATCTACACACTTAGTTTCTTTACATTTGTTCATCAGTGCAAAGTATCCTATGTACATAAAATAACTTCAAATGCAACCAGCTACATCTCTTGAAGTGCGACATTGATGCTGTTATCATTTTTTGTGTGTTGAATGTCATCCCAGCTGTCTTCAATGACACCTGGTCCCTAATGAGCATGTATGTCGAGTGTGTCTACAGTAAAGGTTCCTAATGAGCATGTATGACGAGTGTGTACTACAGTAAAGGCCCCTACTGAGCATGTATGTTGAGTGTGTACTACAGCAAAGGCCCCTACTGAACATGTATGACGCGTGTGTACTACAGTAAAGGTCCCTACTGAGCATGTATGACGAGTGTGTACAACAGTAAAGGTCCCTACTCAGCATGTATGATGCATGTGTACTACAGCAAAGGCCCCTAATGAGCATGTATGATGCATGTGTGCTACAGCAAAGGCCCCTACTGAGCATGTATGATGCGTGTGTACAACAGTAAAGGCCCCTACTGAGCATGTATGATGAGTGTGTACTACATCAAAGGATCCTACTGAGCATATATGACGCGTGTGCACTACAGCAAAGGCCCCTACTGAGCATGTATGACGAGTGTGTAATGCAGCAGAGGCCCCTACTGAGCATGTATGACGAGTGTGTACTACAGTAAAGGCCCCTACTGAGCATGTATGACGCGTGTGTACTACAGTAAAGGCCCCTACTGAGCATGTATGACGAGTGTGTAATACAGTAAAGGCCCCTACTGAGCATGTATGACGCGTGTGTACTACCGAGCATGTATGACCACCAGTCTGTCCCTGTCACCATCAACATATTGGAGTGAGTGACCACACCAGTCAATACTACACCTACCACTATGTACTGGTTTGCCTGTTTGCACGATGAACACAGTGCAGGAAATTAGTCTCACTTTGAAAACTCATGGTGATAGCCCAGCTGTATAGTATTTCATGATAAAAAACAAACATTAATTATTTATTTGTACAATGATATTTATTGAGATCAACCTACTGCTGAAAACTACAGTCAGCCTAGTGTAGCTATATAAATCTCATTTTGTTTGCAATTTCAACTCATTTCTAATATCCATGGTAACGGTCCTCTGCGCTAGAAAAATACCACTTTATACATGTACAATGTTCATAAAACTCCAGTTCCAAATATACAGGTGTCCATGCCAACAGGTGAGTATTAGAGATTTAGAATCTTGTAACAACAGTGCCATTATTCCATGCATAGGAATTATCCATGGGCTGAGGGCTGAGATGAGAGGTGTGCAATGGCAGGAACTTTATAAAACCAACAACGTTGATGTCAGATGAAATGCAGTCAACAATGAAGTAATCAATAAATATTGTATGTTGATGAGAGCAATTTTCAAAAGCATGACTTAGATGATGGGTGAGGCCCCTCTTCTCGACCCTCATTATGAGCTTGCCCAATGATGACTGTGAAGCAGGTCCCTCAGGAGTAGCAACATACACACTTCTGTCTTACATCTCAACAGCACGGATGTCTCAAAATACGATGGCTCAATGAAATGATTCTCCATCACAGTTTCAAAGATACAGTATGATGATACGGCAAGTTTTCAAAAATACTTTGTTCACTGAAAATGACTTTTTCAAGGATTTGTTGCACAAAAATATTTGCTTGAAAGAGTAATTTGAGTTTGAATTGGGTTTAACACTGCTTTGAACAGTATTCCAGTCATGTCAGCTTAATGTGGGAGGAAAGCCCTAACTGATGCAGGCCCCAAGACATTTGCCACCTTGGTGAAACCCACAGGCATGTCGACTTGTGAACAGATACATCACTATTGTTTGGGAAGAACACTGAAGCATGGTGCAGGTAATCCCTTGGAGACTAAACCAGGAATAGCTTGTAGTGCTCCACTACATGTGAAGATGGGTGAACCATCAGTTGACGGATCCCCCTCAACATACAAAACACACAGGGCAGCTGCTGAAACATCACATGTCAGAGTAGTGTGCGAGTGAGTTGGGTTTACGCCGCTTTTAACAGTATTCCAGTTATATTGCAGCGTGTCAGCTTAATGTGGGAGGAAAGCCCGAAGAGATGCAGGTCTCAGACGTTTACCACTTCGGTGAAACCCATGAGCCATGGTATGGTGCTGACAAACCTAGAAACATAATCGGGGCGAACCAGGATTCGAACCCACAATCATAGGTTTCTGGCATGCCCAAGGGACGCAACTCTGCACAGCGAATCGCAGCGCCTTAGATGACAGGGCCACCCGTGCCCCCACATGTCAGGGTAGAGTATTGTGCTGCTTAATGTAACTGTTAAAATACCTAGGTATTCCAAGTACACTGTTGAGCGGCACCTGATACAGTGTTTCATGTTTGAGCATTTGGCTTCATCCAGGACTGACAAATCAGGATTTGTCCTAGGCTCGATTTTAATGCCGGCAAGTTAATGTTTCTCTATAAAGTTGTATGACATAAATAAGCAGAAAAAATGCTACGTGTAATTTAACACATGGTAATATAGATGAGCTAAATTACTTTCAAAATAGTTTCCTCAATAAACAATTATGAAAGTGAAATATAAAATCTATCACGGAACCTTGTATCAGATATTCGTTCTGTGTGGCCTCTGTTGGCAGAGATCAACCCTGCTTTCACATAAATATGTGAAATTCTGAGAATATTTAACAAATACATTGTTTTATACACAATATGCAACACAAATTTGTTCCAAACAAATATTTGCTATTGTTTGTTCAATGTGCTTTGGCAGCCATGTAAAGTCAAAGTGACATAGTTTTTTCTAGATAAGGGAAGGCACCTTGGTTTAAACAAATGCCACAAAACACACTGGAAGCTCATTATAAACAATAGGTTTTGTCAAAAGTGTGCTAATAATTTCTATCATTCATTGATTCAAAGTATGAACTTTTTGCAGACATTAAGAACCCCTCTTGAAATTCCCATATGAACATACCTTGCGTTTCTGCACCACTTTTGACACTTCCCTAAGCACAAAAGCAGCTCAAAACAAGAGCTTGTCATATAAATTGAAACAAATGTTTGATTCCTTGTATAAGGCCATGACAAGTTTTAAAAATAAATGTTCATCATGAGTCATCAAAGAAAAAGCCAGGCAAAATATTTAGTGAACAATCTTATTTTTCCCAGTTAAAAATGAATGTCAACATTGTCCCCATTCTATAAGAAGAGGCACTCCCCTTGCCTAAACTAGGCCAACAAGGGTTCTGCCCATAAGAAACAAAACCAAAGCCTGGTATCTTGGTCCTTTTGAAAATAAGCTTCTGATGCAAAATGCTCTTTGTTGGCCTAAGAACACACACGTTTTACCACATATCAGCTCTATGACGACATAGAAGGACTGTGTACAGTGAGAATACCAGATGTTGAATTTGTATAAATCAAAGCTCCATAGATTCTGACTATCGCTAAATACATTGTTTTCCAATCAAATTTGTGTGGTTCCACTAGTATCGGCTTAAACATAAGATTAGAGCACTCAGAGGAAAACAGAAATGGCTCTACAATTATACAATTCCAACAGAGATATTATTTTAAAGAGTTCAATAGATAAATTATATGTTAATGTGAAAAGCTACAGTGAAAGTACAAAATGGAGACCAAAGCGAACCATAAAATCTTGTAATTAATTGAAAGAAAGAAGAAATGGACCAACCAAACAAGAAGAAATAAACAAAAGCACAAACAAAAGGCTATCCAACCACACATATTGCTGGTACACATTTACAGGAAAATGCAACTATATATTGAGGTAGCAAGGGTGCCCCAAAACATGGCTCACATATACACTGGGCAAAATATACACAGGATGTCAGTGTTTTTTCTCTCTTAAATATTAACGAGATATTGCATCAGCGTCACAAACGATACGTATATGATATATAGTTTGCATTGACTGTACAATAATGTCACTATGATACACAAAGATCTGTCATAGAAGACCAAATATAAAATGACGGAAGAATTGACATACATTTCAGAATGCCATAATGATCTACACAGATGTACAAAACATACAGTTCATCACCAAGGACATTTGATCTTCAGCCAGTCAGTAGTCACTGTCACATGACCTGACTACAACAAGACAAGCCGTAAGTTCTCAATCTGAACACTGCAGCTTGCAGCCATTTTGATGCCACTTTGCGACATGTTTTGGTAGGCTATGTTCACATATAATAAAGCTTTTTGCTTTCCCCTCTCTTGGTATTACCAGCACACACTTGTCCATACCTACTCATTAAAGTCTAAAAATTGCTTCACTTTAAAAGAACTGGCTTATTGGTTTCCTCAAACTCTTTGGCAAAATAAGAAACACCAATTTTACCAGGGGCCTGATCCACGAAGTGTTGTACTGCTACAACATTCATAAACCTAGGATAAAGTATCAGTTACGATAGGTCGTAGCTACGAAAGCTTTGTGGATCGGGACCCAGAAGCATCAAGATGAGTGTGTGTTGTTTATGGAGACCCACCAACTGACCACTTGACCTACACACATATACATACATGCTTGTCTACACAGGCCCATACAGGTCTCCATACCTTGTTTGATTCAATACTATTTTGTCAGAGAAGAGAGCTCCTTTTAGAAACATGCCTACACTAGTATGTTACTGCTCGACACTCCACATAATGTAAATATTTATATTGATACACTGGTTAAAATTATTACAGTGAGTTTTAAGTTACATAATATATAAGTGGGAGTGAATCTTCAGGCTGTGACAAGAAGTTGCATTGCACAGCACTTTGATCACATCTGTAAGTCCAACACAACATGCAAAGCTGTAACGGGATCAACCCTTTCTGTCTTTGGTCTGTTTTTTCTTCCTCTTTACCCATTTCTTCGCACCTTGGACCCTTCCTTGTCTTGTGTGGAAGAGTCCACTAAAGGGTGGGAGGTGTTAATTTGAAAGCACCAAGATCTTACTGATGTCACAGTGTCATACCTGTGGGCGAAAACAGACATTAAATGATGGCAGTGGTTAGACAGTTTGTCCTGTGTGTTAATGGTAAGAGCCCTTTTTAGGCTTTGACAATTTTTCATTCCTCAAATGTGTATTCTGATTACAATTAGTAGATAATGTTTGTCTAACAATACATTTAATCAAAATAAATCTTCAGACAGGGTCAAAACAGTTATTTAATTTATGCATTTGTACTTTTTTCAAATGAAATAATTAGATTTTACTGAGAAAATACTCACATCTGTAACAACAGTTTCATAATTCTGCTTGAACACCCTGGATTTCATGTAGTCAATATAGGACCTTGCTGAGGACACTGGAGTGAGATCCTCTGGACCTGGCTTTCCCCCCTCAGTACCCCCTCCTCCCCCAGGGTCTGCCTCTCCACTAGAAATGTCTGTACCGATACCGCTCTCTGGATCACAGAAAAAAATATATACATACAGGGTCTGCACAAACACACCAATCAATACACTCAACACGGCTACTGGAAGAAAAAAGATCTTGCCATTTATATAGACTTATCTAACCATGTTTGATGCCTAATGTTCGCCATGTTTAATGATTTATGATGCTATGTTTAATGCCATGTATTGCCATGTTTGACAATTTATGTCACCATGTTTGATGATTTGTAACCTATATGCCTTGTGTCACAATGTTTGATGCCTTATGTTGCCATGTTTGATGATTTATGTTGCCATGTTTGACAAATTGTTGTCATGTTTGATTACTGATGTTGCCTTGTTTTGATGACTTATGTTGCCATGTTTGATACCTTATGTCACCATGTTTGATGCCTTATATTGCCATGTTTGACAATTCAATGTCATGTTTGATTACTTTTGTTGACATGTTTGATGTCTCTTGTCAATTTTGATGCCTTGTGTCGCCATGGTTGATGTCTTATATTGCAATTCATCTCGTCATGCTGAACTATTTATCGTGTCAGGATTTGAGTCATGTTTGATTGTTTATTTTGTCATGTTTGATGATCTATCTCATCATGTTATGATACACCTCATCACATGTCCAAGTCTATATCACATGTCTGATCTATTATCATTGATATCCAATACTGGCTCCCCCAGGAGATGCTGCTTCCTGATCACCCAATGGTCAGTTGCCTTAAGGTTGGAATGTTCAAGTCTAACATAGTTTCTTTCATTTTAGAACATCATTTACTAAAAATGGCAGGTGACAGCTCAAAATACTCTTTGGCTTGTGGGGATGTAACTCACAAAGTGACATCATAGGGGAACATCACCACATCTACATACTGGCAATAATAGATAAATTTGTGATCATTACCATTGAATCAAATGAAACACATCTTGCTCAACTTTGAGTTTTGAATTAATGAACACATATTTATGGAGACATTTCTCATCAATATTGTATATTTACATATAATATCTAGGGTGCGAAGTTCCACTGCCAGGCATGGGTTGTAGGGTGCGGCACAGTTACTTCAAGATGATCTCAAACATCAACATGGCCATGTGACTAATACATTGATCTGTGCTTCATGATTGAAAATGCTATTGGTTAATGAATAACATTTTCTACTTTGACTTGTTGATATATTTGATATCTCACCATTTGACAGGAAGGTGACAGATCTCCTCTGATAGCGGGGACTGTCGAGAGGGTCGAAGGCAAGGTTGAGTGACCCGAACAGACCGAAACTGGAGTGGCTGGAGTTGGAGGAGGAGGTGCTGCTGACAGAGATGATGGAGTGGGGGCGCTTGTTGCCGTTACGCAGGTGCTCGAACGATGATACAGCTATCGAGTTCCGTGTTCGAGCTGAAATATTACAAGCATGTAAGGTTGTTGTTTAAATAGAAATTGGACTGAGTTCTAAACAACTGAATGTAGCTGCACCCTGAAACACCCTGTGGCTGATGGAAATGGTGTTGATTCACATTACTAGGGCTGCATGACATACCATGGCAGCCAGATAAATCTGTTGGGTACTTGATGCACACTCATCGCCTTTCAGTAGGTGTGTTGGAAGACCACCATCTAGAATTATTCAAATAAGCTGATGCACCAAATGGGGGATCTAGGGTAGAATAGGTCCCCAGTACCCATGGTGATCCAGGGCAGAGTAGATCCCCAGTTCCCTTGGGGATCTAGGGCAGAATAGGTCCCCAGTTACCATGGTGGTCCAGGGCAGAGTAGATCCCCAGTTCCTATTGTGATCCAGGGCAGAGTAGATCCCCAGTTCCCTTGGGGATCTAGGGCAGAATAGGTCCCCTGTTCCCATGGGGATCTAGGGCAGACTAGGTCCCCAGTTACCATGGTGGTCCAGGGCAGAGTAGATCCCCAGTTCCTATTGTGATCCAGGGCAGAGTAGATCCCCAGTTCCCTTGGGGATCTAGGGCAGAATAGGTCCCCTGTTCCCATGGTGATACAGGGCAGAGTAGAACCCCAGTTCCCATGGTGATCCAGGGCAGAGTAGAACCACAGTTACCATGGGGATCTAGGGCAGAATAGGTCCCCTGTTCCCATGGTGATCCAGGGCAGAGTAGAACCCCAGTTCCCATGGGGATCTAGGGCAGAATAGGGCCCCAGTTACCATGGGGATCCAGGGCAGAATAGGTCCCCTGTTCCCATGGTGATCCAGGGCAGAGTAGAACCCCAGTTCCCATGGGGATCTAGGGCAGAATAGGGCCCCAGTTACCATGGGGATCCAGGGCAGAATAGGTCCCCAGTTCCTATGGTGATCCAGGGCAGAGTAGGTCCCCTGTTCCCATGGTGATCCAGGGCAGAGTAGGTCCCCTGTTCCCATGGTGATCCAGGGCAGAGTAGGTCCCCTGTTCCCATGGGGATCTAGGGCAGAGTAGGTCCCAAGTTCCAATGCTTGTTGTACAGGCTGACTAAGGCAATTTAATTTCAATACTGGGTAATGCCCTGACATGTGGCAGTTGCTCATTTCATCATTCACATCATTGCCTTGCCCAAACGCAGTTATTTACAGGCTGCCATGTATTGCCGACTGCAACATAACACAATATTCACACATTTATTTTAGAACTTATAACAGTTCAGTGCATCAATCAACATTAAAAAACAATTTGAACAGCTGCCATCACTTACATCCCCTGGAGCCGAGAGCCACATTGATGAAGCGATCCTGTATGTTGTCAGCGCTGGGTTTGAGATCAAGGCACGGCTTACTGCCAACCCCCATTGTGGCCATTTCTGTAAGACGCACCTCTGTTAGGACAGAAATTACGGGGGACAGTGAGAGGAAAGCGCTACAGACTTCACTATGCACATGCCAGCTCGGGTGATGGAGGTGTGAGGTAAATTCAGCCAGTCATCAAGTATGTAGCAATAGCACATTCTATGCAGTGGCATTGCAATAGGAGATATTGATCTAGTACCCTTACAAATTTTGAAAATGTCTTATCTACCCTGACTGGTCTTAAATTAGCAAAACAATATTGTCCGTTCACAAAATAGGTGGGGCGGTCGGGTTGCCAAGTGGTCAAAGCGTTCACTCGTCACGCCAAAGACCCGGGTTCGACTCCCAACATGGGTAGAATATGTGAAGCCCATTTCTGGTTCCCCCCGCCGTGATATTGCTGGAATATTGCTAAAAGCTGCGTAAAGCCATACTCACTCACAAAATAGGTTAATTAAAAGGTGATCGTCATTCACTGACATTAGTTGAGAGATGATTCTATCTTCTTCATAATTATCAATACGAAGTTGATCTTAAACCCTCTAAATAATTCATCTTAACCTCACATTACTGTGTTCATTTCCAAACAGGTCTCAAATGAAGATCACATTACTCAAAACTCATAACATAGTAGATTTCCTTTCATATTTTGACATATCTGTATAATTCTTGAAGTTCTTAAAATGACCAATTTAACCTCATAACATCCAATGAGCCAAGTAGTATGGTGGCATCTGATTGGTTAATCTAGAACTGTGGCAACATGACTAACCAATCAGATGACACCAAGGATTATAATTAGTATAAGAGAAGGGAAAGACATATGGATGTAGTACAATATGTTAGAGTTAGTACAAAGATGTAATACTAAACTACACACACATACAATATACACACTGATGGAAGGAAATACCTACGAGTGGAAGAACATGTCATAATGTGTCACAAACGTTGGTATGGAGGAAATGTTACTGATTACTGATGCAGTGAACATATTAGATACTATCATTAAACTCGGTTTCTTTTATCAAGTGACATACTTTTTACTGATCACTTAAAGTTCAGTCAACATTTATTAATCAGCAGCATGTCAATGTATAGGTTAGACCATGAGGACCCAGTGTCGAAAATATTTTGCAGTTCATAAACGGATAAGCAATTAGTGTTCTGATGTAAGTATTTAGTTGTTAATTTTTACAAACTTTTTCTTATGTCGCCATGGCAGAAGACTACATTTGTTATCCTTCAGTGCGGACTTCGTGGGTTTGAATCCCGCTGGCGACAAATGTTTTTCATGAAATTGTGCTATCATCAAGATAAATGATAGGGGGGAAAAAGAAGTTCCGTCATTACCAAGTGGTGTTTAACTAACAATTCAGTTAGTTAGACCACTGTCAAAGACAAAGGAGCCATGGTTTAAGTGTAACCTAAAATATTTTCCATCAATGTCTACAATGTTGATTTTACTCTCTCCAGGATAAGCCCATGTATATCAAAATTTTGACAGGAGATTAAATTATTAATACCACAAGATGAATTTCAATCTATAACTTCCATCAGGTTGGAACTCCATCAAGATTCTTTATCTTGACCAGTTTTCGAGTGCAATGTGCCACAGCTTTGACATCTGGTTTATGCTGGAGAGTGCATACATGTATAACTTCTTTAAGTTATCAATACACAACTTGATGTTCTATATCACAGGCAAACAAAGAATATGTAGCCTCCAGTGATGATGTGGAGAACATATGAAAGATGTAGAATGAAAGCATCTTTTTAATTGTTTTTTAACATTTCTCGAAATATGTCTATTCATAATTCTCAATTACTTAAAAAGACAACTCAAAATAACTGCTCAAGTATATCTTGACATGCACTACAAACATGGAATTTTAGCTGACATTCTGCAGTGAGACAAAAAACAACTTATATCAGATTGTTTCAATTATCACAAACTTCTCTTCAACTCAAAGGAAACTGAAGGTATCTCAGTCAGCAACAAATATATCCAATAAACCGGGTGGGCAACTCAGTTGTGTGATATATGTAATCTCCTCTTAATAATGGTGGTGGAGAGCCCCACTTAGCAGGAGTTATCTCCCCTCCTTACCTCTGTTCTTGATAGCCTGTTTCCACAGCATCTTAGATATGTCACGGACCCACGCCCGCTTCACATCGGAGCTCTGGGCCTGCAGGATGTAGTTCTCTCCCAGAGACCGCCGCCGGAACCAGATTTCAAATTTGTACCCACTGTCTCCATAGTTCTCTGTCAAACCAAGGTCTGAGGTCTGCAAGATGGAGGACATATTCTCATTATTTTGCTTTATTTAAGGATTGACTGTGTATATTTTTCAGTTCATTGAGGTTTGAAACGAAAAAACTAATGTGCAAACTATGAATCCGCATAGCTACGGTGGGCGTGGCTTAATGTTTTACATTCACTGGATGTAGGCTACCACTTGTGAGGATAAGTCACTTTAATTCTTTTATGAGAGCTTCATTAAGTTCTCTACTTTCTTTGGTTTTCTTGTTAATCATCCGGGTTTTAGTCAGTGCATGGACAAGCACCTGGATGTAAACAGAATATGAAATGAACTTGTGTAGGGTGTAAAGGACCCATAAAATTTGTAAGTATTAACAAAATATATAGGTAACAACATGTAAATCATAACTAGCAATGCTATAACAAATGTAAATGGTGTAAAAGGGTAATTTGCATGTTGAAAAGGTTGAAGTGTGTATCACAGATGTTTCTTTTAAAATCCGGAAAATAATGTTGGTAATAACATGTACTTACTACCTTAGTTACAAGTTGTAATGTTTCACATTTGTTTTTATTATAGCTTGTACCTGTCAACAATAGGCCTTACAATTAAAGGGCCAGTAAAAGAATTTGAAGGAAATAAATAATTCGAAATATCGGTCACAATGTTTCAAGACTGAATCAAGAATGTACGAATCAATCTATGCTGAAGTTTAAAATAAACCATTCAAGACAGTGTACAGAATTGTGTGTCAATGGCCAAAGTGTATCACCTACACTGGGAAATAAATGCAATAACATATGTGACCATTTCAGAAGACAGGAATTATACTGAACATGCTGAACACAACGAAAATTTAATTAGTACCTGATGAGCGAACGCTTTAACCACGAGGCTACCCGACTGCCCGCACTATCTTGTGAATAAAGGCATGGAAAATTATAAGGACTACCGACACATGCAGTAACTGAATGCACTATTTCAACACACAAAGACATTTCAAGGGCTAGATAATGATATTCAGTGTAAATTCCCACCAGATATTTCAGGGTAAGCTCAGTGAGTCTTCCTCACCCTACCTTAAAGCTGTATTTGTAGACATAGATGTCATGGTGGCCCTGTCGACCCCGCTTTGTCTTGCTGAACAGAATGAGGTCCTCGAACAGAAACACACGACGCAGTGACTTCTTCCTACCCTGCCACACCAGGAACTCATCCTGACGGAGTAGCCTCCCTTGCTCCTGGAGATTCACCTGTATGAAATACACAACTTATAGACAAAACCAAACTTGTATCATCTTTTTTACACATCAGTATTGAATGACCTGTTACATATCTGAAGAAAAAGATACATTGCTTATATGGACAGAGAAGCCTCCTGATGTTGTGGTGGACTGAACAACTGCCCTGACACAGCCAGCTTGCAGCTGTCAGTGACTCTTCCAAACAGGTCACCCATCCAAGTGCTACACATGCTCAGCAGCCATTTTACCTCATCCCCACTTTACAACAGCAGTTACTTCTCTTCTATCAAAACTTGAATCACTTCTAAGGACAAACAGTCTATATGGTGAGTCACGGAAGTACATACAATATATTGTATGTACGTCTTTGGGTAAGTCTTGTTTTCTTTGTGACAATACTAGCCACTACTATATGCTTGAATATATTTGAACACAGTCACAGATCACAATACAATTCAGATTATTTCTATGACTGGAAGACAAAGCTTGTTATCCCACAAGTAATCTGTAAGAGCATACTTAGTGGTAGTACTTACATCACATTCTCGTAGTGAATCCATAGCAAGTAGGTCGTTGCCATGGCGAAGCTGGAACTTCACCATTTCCTCAGCAGCCTGTGAAATGGTGATAAAGACAAATGGATGAAAACCTCAGTGACCATACATATCCACTTCATAAAATGTCTCTTACCTCTCATGTCACAGATATTGTTGTAATGAAGCAAGAATTACCTCAGTGCAGGTGGGCAGGCAGTGCCAAAATAATAGTTTTTGTTTACACAAAAAGCAAGCTTTGTTTATTGCCCCACAGTCCTAAGCAGGTAAAAATGTAAGGTACACCCAGGAACATCAGACTCTGTTGCTCACCTTCCTACACAGTTCAAGACAGGAAATAATCAACCACACAGTGTTGATACACAACATTTCTCAAAACTTAATCCCCAAACTAAATCATTTACAGATGGACTTCATCATTTTTGATTGAGTGAATGAAAGTTTTTCTCTACCATACACACATCAACAATATTATAGCTTTATCATGTTTATAACACGGGCCTGGACCAGACAAACGATATCTTTTTAAAAATATTTAATTGACATAAATAATCATGAACTGATGGATGGATGGAAGAGTACTTCATGACTGAGCCAACTTGGAGCTTTACTCCATGTTGAACTAATAATAGTAATCCTTACCATGTAATTAAACATCTTATAATTGAAATAGAAGTTGTATTAATATTACATAACTCATCAATAACAGAGAATAATCATGCATAGGAATCTACTGGCTGTCCTACATAGACTGCTACTTCTTGGTGCATAAAGAAGCTAAGCATACAGATCAGGCTTGTGACTGAAACATGACTAAAAAGACTGAAAAGCCGAGAACTTCTAAAGCTCTGAAACCTTTGATTCTTTTCACCAGAAATTATTATATTGAGTTGGGGAAAAAATTCCTTCTTTTGACAAAAATATCACATGTCTGATAGCTGTGGTGCAACAAGCGGACCAGGCAAAGATGACATAAGCGGAAGACAAGAGAGGGTCACTCTACCTTCTTGTCAGGGGTCAAGAGATCTCCTGACACCCTACAAAGTCTGGGTATTGAGGGCAGAAAATGAAGGACTAAATGCCCCAGCTTAATGGGACATTTTGAAAACATACATTTTTATGTTAAAGCTGAAAATAAAACTTTCATTACAATTCATATATATTGGAAATAAGATAACATAATAAAAGTACTGGGGAATCTGAAAAGGTTATTAGGGGTGATGAAGGATGCCAAGTGTGGAACAGGATTCCTGCCAATGTGTGATGGAACAAGCAGCTTAAGGAGAATAGCATATATTCATGTAATGACTTGTGGACATGTCATTACATAATCTCCCACTGTGGACATGTCATAACATAATCTACCACTATGGACATGTTATAACATAATCTACCATTGTGGACATGTCATAACATAATCTACAATTGTGGACATGTCATAACATAATCTACCATTGTGGACATGTTATAACATAATCTACCATTGTGGACATGTCATAACATAATCTACAATTGTGGACATGTCATAACATAATCTACCATTGTAGACATGTTATAACATAATCTACCACTGTGGACATGTTATAACATAATCTACCATTGTGGACATGTTATAACATAATCTACCATTGTGGACATGCCAAAACATAATCTACCATTGTGGACATGCCATAACATAATCTACCATTGTAGACATGTCATAACATAATCTACCACTATGGACATGTTATAACATAATCTACCACTGTGGACATGTTATAACATAATCTACCATTGTGGACATGTCATAACATAATCTACAATTGTGGACATGTCATAACATAATCTACCATTGTGGACATGTTATAACATAATCTACCATTGTGGACATGTCATAACATAATCTACCATTGTGGACATGCCATAACATAATCTACCATTGTGGACATGTTATAACATAATCTACCATTGTGGACATGTCATAACATAATCTACAATTGTGGACATGTCATAACATAATCTACCATTGTAGACATGTTATAATATAATCTACCACTGTGGACATGTTATAACATAATCTACCATTGTGGACATGTTATAACATAATCTACCATTGTGGACATGCCATAACATAATCTACCATTGTGGACATGCCATAACATAATCTACCATTGTAGACATGTCATAACATAATCTACCACTGTGGACATGTTATAACATAATCTACCACTGTGGACATGTTATAACATAATCTACCATTGTGGACATGTCATAACATAATCTACAATTGTGGACATGTCATAACATAATCTACCATTGTGGACATGTTATTACATAATCTACCATTGTGGACATGTCATAACATAATCTAGCATTGTAGACATGTTATAACCTAATCTACCATTGTTGACATGCCATAACATAATCTAGCATTGTGGACATGTTATAACATAATCTACAATTGTGGACATGTCATAGCATAATCTACCATTGTGGACATGTTATAACATAATCTACAATTGTGGACATGTCATAGCATAATCTACCATTGTGGACATGTTATGGACAACACTCTGCACACTTAAGAAGACATTGCAGGTACTAGTTCCTTCACTGACATGCTAAGACTTAATGGTATCGACACTGAAACTAAACTGATTAAAAACAGTTGTGATAAAGGTTATGTGAGAGAATGTGAAAACTGGATGTGAGAGAAGGTGAAAGAAGGGTGTGAGTTGAGAGGTGAAAGAAGGGTGTGAGTTGAGGGTGTGAGAGAAGGTAAAAGAAGGGTGTGAGTTGAGAGGTGAAAGAAGGGTGTGATGTGAGGGTGTGAGAGAAGGTGAAAGAAGGGTGTGAGTTGAGAGGTGAAAGAAGGGTGTGAGTTGAGGGTGTGAGAGAAGGTAAAAGAAGGGTGTGAGTTGAGAGGTGAAAGAAGGGTGTGAGTTGAGGGTGTGAGAGAAGGTAAAAGAAGGGTGTGAGTTGAGAGGTGAAAGAAGGGTGTGATGTGAGGGTGTGAGAGAAGGTGAAAGAAGGGTGTGAGTTGAGAGGTGAAAGAAGGGTGTGAGTTGAGGGTGTGAGAGAAGGTAAAAGAAGGGTGTGAGTTGAGAGGTGAAAGAAGGGTGTGAGTTGAGGGTGTGAGAGAAGGTGAAAGAAGGGTGTGAGTTGAGAGGTGAAAGAAGGGTGTGATGTGAGGGTGTGAGAGAAGGTGAAAGAAGGGTGTGAGTTGAGAGGTGAAAGAAGGGTGTGAGAGAAGGCATGAGAGAGGAGGATGGAAGTTGGGGGTCATGTTTCACACATGTCTTGGCTTGTCCCATTGTTACCTTCAGGTCCGGGTATTCCAGTTCCGTCTCAGGGCAGACTTTGAGGATCTGCTTGAGTAACAGAGCATATTTGCCCATCCTCTGTACCGGCTTCAGCAGGTAGCTAGCCAAGTCCATCTTGTCTCCCAGATGCATCTGCTTCTGCTGTAGATAGAAACACAGTGACCAGCTACAGACCATGGTCTTGAAACATACCTACCACCATTACGGTGTAACGATCCACTATGGATACATAGTATTTGGCCATGGCCTAATGGAAAGACATAAGTGACAAGTTGCAACATCAATAATTCAAATGGACTCCACACTAGAAAATACACATCAAGTTTTGAAAGATGCAAATAATTAATTCACTCATCTTTCACACTCTACTGAATCTAGTAGTTACTGGACATGTCATGCAATGAAATGTTGAATAAGCTAGGAGTTTGAAAAAAAAAAATTATTGAAGGGAAAAGTATGTGTCGTTATTAAGAGTGATTATGGGTTCTTCTAGCTATTGTGATTTTATTGCAATACATGTTTGTTTGTTTGTTGTTTTACGCCGCACTCAGCAATATTGCAGCTATATGATGGTGGTCTGTAAATAATCGAGTCTGGACCAGACAATCCAGTGATTGACATCATGAGCATCGATCCATGCAATTGGGATTCAATGACATGCATCAACCAAGTCAGCGAGCGCAATACATGTGAGTGGGTGAGTATTATTTTATGCCGCTTTTAGCAATATTCCATCAATAGCATGGCAGAAATGGGCTTCACACATTGTACCCATTTTGGGAATCGAACCCGGGTCTTCGGTGTGATGAGCAAACGCTTTAACCACTTGGCTACCTGACCGCCCCTGCACTACATGTAGTAGCCCTAACTATTGCAATAGTACTGTTACAGTAGTTAAAATGCACTAAATAGTCTACAAAAACAGACATCAGAGCTAACACATTATACAAAGAAACATCAATATCTTGGGAGTGTGATCATACCCTGAAGAAGTATTTGCCATACTCTCCCATCAGGCTGTCCGACTTGGGCTTGTTCTTGTTGTACAGTGCATACAGGTAAAACTGGGTCTCCTGAAACACACAGCATCACTGACTCATTGGTTTCAAGCCCATACTGTACCCAGTGGGCAATTTAACCTGGCTTATTTGAGGGAAGAGCAAATACTTTTACATCTGGCTACCCCACAGTAACCAAGTAATACTGAAGTCGCCATGCAAATCATCCACAAATTGGAAATACTAGCAACTAATTACTTTGATTCACAGTATTTATTAGATGAAGAATACATATTTATAGTTAGATTCAATATCAGGCAAGATGCTCTATTTAAACATAATAATAGTCTGGAGAAGATCTTGAAAATGTCGGACAATGTTGAGCTTTGAGCCTTTTCATGGTACTTAATAAAATCCACAGAAGTGATTTCAGCAAGTCTTACATGCCGCAGGAAATACTGCCCAATCAGGAAGGGGTTCGTCTCACACGTCTCCACTTCGCGAAGGAAATGCTGATTATGGAACTGGTAGATATTCTCAATGTTCCCGAAAATGACATTCCTCTTCCCTCGCAGTGCCTGTGGAACGTCTTCTCGGTCCAGCTCTGGGATGTAGTTGTCGATGATGAACTGCAGCGCTCTCACATAATCTCGTTCCGTCTGTATCATTTCACTTGTGATCAGAGACAGGGTCCTGAGCAACAAACAATTAAGCATTATAAATACATGAAGTATAAAAAAAATCCAGATTATCGTGTATGTGAATGATGTTTTATGAAGCAGTTAGTTGTACTCCATCTAATTCACAGATGTCAGAGTACAATGACACACAATCATCCAAACCACAGAATCTGAGTACCTTATATACCAATATAAGTCGTTCTAACAATAGAAAATGAGTTAATGGGGACCAATCCTGCACAGGAATCCCTACATGCCACTGATATTGATGCCACTGATATTGACCCCACAAGGATCACTGATGATCCTCCCCACAATCACTGATGTTGCTGCCACACGTTCCCTGATGTTGCCTCCCCACAATAACCGATGTTGACTCCCCACAATCACTGATGTTGCCTCCCAACAATTACCGATGTTGACTCCCCACAATCAGTGATGCTGCCTCCCCTCAATCACTGATGTTGTCTCCCCACAATCACTGATGTTGTCTCCCCACAATCACTGATGCTGCCTCCCCTCAATCACTGATGTTGTCTCCCCACAATCACTGATGTTGTCTCCCCACAATCAGTGATGCTGCCTCCCCTCAATCACTGATGTTGCCTCCCCACAATCACTGATGTTGTCTCCCCACAATCAGTGATGCTGCCTCCCCTCAATCACTGATGTTGTCTCCCCACAATCACTGATGTTGTCTCCCCACAATCAGTGATGCTGCCTCCCCTCAATCACTGATGTTGTCTCCCAACAATCACTGATGTTGTCTCCCCACAATCACTGATGTTGCCTCCCTACAATCACTGATGTTGACTCCCCACAATCACCGATGTTGTCTCCCTACAATCACTGATGTTGACTCCCCACAATCACTGATGTTGCCTCCCCACAATCACTGATGTTGCCTCCCCACAATAACTGATGTTGACTCCCCACAATCACTGATGTTGCCTCCCCACAATCACTGATGTTGTCTCCCCACAATCACTGATGTTGCCTCCCCACAATCACTGATGTTGCCTCCCCACAATCACCGATGTTGTCTCCCCACAATCACTGATGTTGCCTCCCCACAATCACTGATGTTGACTCCCCACAATCACTGATGTTGTCTCCCCACAATCACCGATGTTGTCTCCCTACAATCACTGATGTTGACTCCCCACAATCACTGATGTTGCCTCCCCAAAATCACTGATGTTGACTCCCATGATCACTGAGGTTGACTCTCCACATATCACAGAGGTTGACTCCCCACATATCACAGAGGTTGACTCCCCACATATCACAGAGGTTGACTCCCCACATAACACAGAGGATGACTCCCCACATAACACAGAGGTTGACTCTCCACGATCACTGAGGTTGACTCCCCACATATCACAGAGGTTGACTCCCTTGATCACTGAGGTTGACTCCCCACATATCACAGAGGTTGACTCCCCACATAACAGAGTTGACTCCCCACATATCACAGAGGTTGACTCCCCACATAACACAGAGGAAGACTCCCCACATAACACAGAGGTTGACTCTCCACGATCACTGAGGTTGACTCCCCATGATCACAGAGGTTGACTCCCCACATAACATAGAGGTTGACTCCCCACATATCACTGAGGTTGACTCCCCATTATCACAGAAGTTGACTCCCCACATATCACAGAGGTTGACTCCCCACATATCACAGAGGTTGACTCCCCACATATCACAGAGGTTGACTCCCCACATATCACAGAGGTTGACTCCCATGATCACTGAGGTTGACTCCCCACATATCACAGAGGTTGACTCCCCACATATCACAGAGGTTGACTGCCCACATTACACAGAGGTTGACTCCCATGATCACTGAGGTTGACTCCCCACATATCACAGAGGTTGACTCCCCACATATCACAGAGGTTGACTCCCCACAAATCACAGAGGTTGACTCCCTTGATCACTGAGGTTGACTCCCCACATATCACAGAGGTTGACTCCCCACATAACAGAGTTGACTCCCCACATATCACTGAGGTTGACTCCCCACATATCACAGAGGTTGACTCCCTTGATCACTGAGGTTGACTCCCCACATATCACAGAGGTTGACTCCCCACATAACAGAGTTGACTCCCCACATATCACAGAGGTTGACTCCCCACATAACACAGAGGAAGACTCCCCACATAACACAGAGGTTGACTCTCCACGATCACAGAGGTTGACTCCCCACATAACATAGAGGTTGACTCCCCACATAACACAGAGGTTGACTCCCCACGATCACCGAGGTTGACTCCCCACATATCACTGAGGTTGACTCCCCATTATCACAGAGGTTGACTCCCCACATATCACAGAGGTTGACTCCCCACATATCACAGAGGTTGACTCCCCACATATCACAGAGGTTGACTCCCCACATATCACAGAGGTTGACTCCCATGATCACTGAGGTTGACTCCCCACATATCACAAAGGTTGACTCCCCACATATCACAGAGGTTGACTCCCCACATAACAGAGGTTGACTCCCATGATCACTGAGGTTGACTCCCCACATATCACAGAGGTTGACTCCCCACATATCACAGAGGTTGACTCCCCACGATCACTGAGGTTGACTCCCAATTATCACAGAGGTTGACTCCCCACATATCACTGAGGTTGACTCCCCACAAATCACAGAGGTTGACTCCCCTGATCACTGAGGTTGACTCTCCACATATCACAGAGGTTGACTCCCCACATAACAGAGGTTGACTCCCCACATATCACAGAGGCTGACTCCCATGATCACTGAGGTTGACTCCCCACATATCACAGAGGTTGACTCCCCACATATCACTGAGGTTGACTCCCATGATCACTGAGGTTGACTCCCCACATATCACAGAGGTTGACTCCCCACATATCACAGAGGTTGACTCCCATGATCACTGAGGTTGACTCCCCACATATCACAGAGGTTGACTTCCCACATATCACAGAGGTTGACTCCCCACATATCACTGAGGTTGACTCCCATGATCACTGAGGTTGACTCCCCACATATCACAGAGGTTGACTCCCCACATATCACAGAGGTTGACTCCCATGATCACTGAGGTTGACTCCCCACATATCACAGAGGTTGACTCCCCACATATCACAGAGGTTGACTCCCCACATAACAGAGTTGACTCCCCACATAACACAGAGGATGACTCCCCACATAACACAGAGGATGACTCCCCACATAACACAGAGGTTGACTCCCCACGATCACTGAGGTTGACTCCCCATTATCACAGAGGTTGACTCCCCACATATCACAGAGGTTGACTCCCCACAAATCACAGAGGTTGACTCCCCTGATCACTGAGGTTGACTCTCCACATATCACAGAGGTTGACTCCCCACATATCAGAGGTTGACTCCCCACATATCACAGAGGTTGACTCCCCACATATCACAGAGGTGGACTCCCCACATATCACAGAGGTGGACTCCCATGATCACTGAGGTTGACCCCATCTAAGCTCCATCACAGCAATGAAGGCTTTGAAAACCTAAGTCAGCACTAATCTAGCCACATCATAGCAACTAAGTCATAACAAAAGACAGTATTGCAGACACAGACTTGTTATCCAGTTTAATTTAGCCACATCTTCAAACTGGCCCTGTTCTACAAAGTGATCTTAGCGCTATGATGATCGTAAGCCTATGTTAAAGTATGGGAGTTATGATCACCTTAGCATTAAGATCGCTTTGTAAAATGGGGCAAGGGGAATTAAACCAGTCAATTAATAACTAACCCTATTGAAACAAATACTTACGTTATCAAAAACATTACAACACAACAAACTTTCACTAACATTCTTTTTAAACTTAACACAATTGCAGCAGGGGATCCATCAGTAAAGTGTCTAAACATCTGGCTATAAGAGAGACTGGCTATTTCGGCAAGGTTCATCAAAAGTAACTTAGCCATGAAACAACCAGGTATACTCTCATTAGTTGGTTCAGGCCTTCTCCTCAGGCACTATGTTCAGAGCATTTACTCAAACAATAGGACAAAATATTTCTGTGACTTGTGTTTCATCTCAGTTGAAAATGTTTCAAGGGATTTGTAAGTTTGAAATGTTATCAACACAGTGGCAACCACTAATCTGAAATATTGGTCAAATATTATTACTGACAAACAGGCTATATTTTCTCAAACTGGGAAAATCTTTCACAGGATCCTTATTTTATCAAATAAATATTTTCAGAAATCATAAGCTTGGTCTTTGTTTTCTCTAAATTTGATTTCTGAAACATACCAAGCGCTCTTTTGTAGGACTTCATAGACATTTCTCACAGACATTTAATATTTTTCTTACTCAAATATAAAAAGTCCTTCCCCAAATCTTATAAAGCAACTTTATCCAATCAAAAGGGTCAGACGTTATGTTGACACTACTCTTGAATATTTCTCTAGTTTTAACCAGGATTAAAGACAGGACTGTCACGTGTTGGAGGAAAGGGGCATCTGACTTGTTAACAAACAGTATTGCGTGTTGGGAGTTCAGTTAATGAACTGAAAGTGACAATCAACGTGGGGAGTAAAGCTTTTACAAACAAGGCTCTCATTGGATGATATCTCTGACATTGTCCTCTTATCCCAGTGAGGGCAACTTACAAATGTTGACATTGTGTAACACTCATGTTTCCAGAGACGCCCACCACACTGTTACTGTGTTGAGGCCTAGATGGCTGTCATCATAAGGGAGGCAAGCGTAGGTTTGCATGAGAAGGCAAGGTAAGGTATGCATGGGAAGGGAAGGGAAGGTATGCATGGGAAGGCAAGGGAAGGTATGCATGGGAAGGCAAGGGAAGGTATGCATGGGAAGGCAGGGGAAGGTATGCATGGGAAGGCAAGGGAAGGTATGCATGGGAAGGCAAGGGAAGGTATCCATAGGGACGCAAGGGAAGGTATGCATGGGAAGGCAAGGGAAGGTATCCATAGGGAGGAAAGGGTAGGTATCCATAGGGAGGAAAGGGAAG